ATAATATTATAAATGCAAAATGTGCGTCCGGAGATGCCTTGTATTTTAAAAAATACCATTAATTTAACTACGCTTCGCTCGGGTGCGTCCCTAGAGGTCTTTATGTTACTCCAGGTTAACAAACATACACACATATAAACTTTCGCATTTATATTAGTACCTACACTACCTAGTGTGATTATTGGCTGGTGCAATAATACGCTCTATATTTTCCCCAGTATAAGGAGTTCGATTACAGGTCAGGAACATTTTTTTTTAAATCCCATTTTAATTAAACGTCTGTACCTTAAGGCATAACCTCTTAAGAATTTTGTTTTCTCTTTATATTCAAATATATCCATCCATGTCCACATAAAACAATGCATAATATGTATTTTAGTTTGTTTAGACATTTGATATAGGTACTTATGTACTTTATTATATTGGGTAATAGAAAAAAAAACCTATGAATGATAGTTTTCGTTAACTTCTGGTTGAAGCAATATTAAAGCTAATACTATAAAGAGGAAAGATTTGTTTGTTTGTTTGTTCGTTCGTACAGAATAGGCTCCGAAACTACTGAATCGATTTGGATGAAATTTGGTAAGAAGATAGTTTGAGACCCTGGGAGGGACATAGGATAGTTTTTATCCCGAAAATCATCCCTTCAGGAGGTCAAAATAGGGACGAAAGTTTGTATGGTGAAGCAACCTAGTGTTATATATTTTCAAGTAATTATATTAATCTAGATACGGAAAAATCTCTCATGTTATGCAGATATATTTACACAAACCAAATTTTAAACTAAAAATTTAACACTTATCTCAAGTAAGATAGAAATAATGAAAAATAAAACAAAATATTAGTCCTAACATTTTATATTTTGTACTTCACAACAGTATCATTGAGTATTGTTAGAGTAGTGCTTATACTAATGCTATATTTACTTGTAATATAGTGCCTAGGGCATATATTTTTAAACGATATATAAGAATATTCTGATATATGGTGAAAATACTTGAAAATATGTGATTTATATTATTTTATTATTATAAAATCACGAAATTTGTAACATGATTTGATATAAAAAAATATCGTGAGTACTTTTAAGTCACAGGCACATATACTATATATATTGAATAAGTTTATCTAATACTAAATGTTTGTTGATGACCTTTCAATTAATAAAAATACGATATAAATCGTCAAAATTAAACTCTTTAGCTACCTTCAAATTAATACAAAATTGATTACAAAAATATAAAAAAATAAATAAACTTGAATTGGAAGACAATTCAGCTATTTAATACATAAAAATCAATATAGAAATGATCTTACAAATGAATGTAAACTAAGCGTGCAAACGTTATTCGAACCACACAATATTACTTATTAATCGTAAAACTGAATACAATTCTCATACAAGATATTTTTATTAGATCACTTAAATTATTATTTAACAATCATAATAGAGTTACAGAACTAAGTCGATGTAAATAAAACTATATTACAAAGTAGATATGATTATATATTTATGGCACAAAACATTAAAATTATTTTAATTTTTTTTTTAATAAAAAACCAACCAAATTATATCTTATGTTGTAGTAAAATATTATTTTTATCGATAACTTCAATTAAGTATAATTAACATTATGCAAAAACGAGACAAGTAAGTGTAAATTGGACGATGTGACCAAGAATTTTCATACTTTGTTGATATTTTTAATAAATATACTTTATAATAAGTCTTTGAATTATGGACAGAATACATTATGCCTTTACACACTATAATCGTCATAGGCACGATATTAGGTATTGTATAGACAATTTGAATGTTTATCACAAGCGGTAATCGAACTTGTAGACATCGAAAGAAAACCGTCATTAAGCTCACAAATTGTAGATAATGCTATATATGTATGTATAATATATACACTGCGATACAATATCTATTCTTTAGTAGGTAGCATCCTCAGACTATAGAATATGGTGAGAGTCCACTAGAATAAATGTAAAAGTCAAATATGGTAGCGTGATTTGCTGTTTATGATACCATTCTCGATTTATCACACTTGTTTACTTTCTTTAAAGAAAAAGGTAAACTTAATATAGGCATTAGTTAAATAAATATACAATTTTTGAGAATTAAATATAAATAATATAAATGATTGTTTCTTTTTATCATAAAAAAAATCCATTAACTATTTTTATACAAATTATCATTTGTATACTATTTTAAAACATTATTTGGCTTCATGTTTAGTTCTATGACAATGTCTATCGAATTAAAATTATTCTTTAGTCTGAGGTAGCTTATATTTCAATATTCAGAATTGTACATAATTTTTTATTAAATATTACATATTAATTGTATTTTATAACTTTCTAAAACACTAAAGCCATATAAATTATACATTTATAGGTATGCATAAATAACGTCTATGCACTCTAATAATAATATTATAATTCTTTTACATTCCACTTATAAATTCGAATTGGAATAAAGGACAGGTGTTGGCCGCACGTTCGCTTTCTCTATTTCTAGATAGTAGTCAATTTCATGCGAGTATTGCTTAGTCCATTCTTTACCTCTATGATAGTAAGACTCATTACTTGTTTAGTTTAAAAATCAAAATTAGAGTGAGAAAATTTTCATATAATTTATCATCCAATAAATATCGTCAGGATAGCATTTTTAAAATATATTATGATTTATGATTATATTATATAGTGTAAATATTTTCTAAATGGTGTCATATTTTATATGTATAATGTGTACATGTGTGTATATATGCATGTATGTATGTATATTGTAAATATTTGTACGTCATTTGTAGATCTCCTTAAGTTTGCACCCTTTCTTTCTCTCTTTCTTTCTCTCTACCCAAAAGTTGCCTAGAATAGATCGCTCTCTAGCAATAAGGCTGCCTATTGTACTATTTCTCTTTAATCTGTAACAACTATGTAATGTAAAAGAATGGTGTGCCATAAAGAATATTTGATTATTTAATTATATTTTATGATTTTGTGACATAAGAAAAAGTTAAAATCTGTCTATTTAACAAGCGTAATTCAAGGCACTTTGCGAGACATCACAATATTAGCACCAAGTGTGCGCAAAGCTTATTGCTGTAGCAATATTTACAAAAAATTTGGACGATTACGATTATTCGATTCGATTGTTAAAATTATCGATTATTAATATTATATGGCGTTAATTAATTAAAACTCCACATCTAACCCGAATTATAATTATATTAAGAAAATACAATTTAATGTTTCCCTTCATCAATGTAAATAATAATATGAAATAATTTAAGCAGATTTTTATTTTGATTCAGTTAAATCAAAATATTTTTAATACTTTTAATAATCGATAATAATTAATTAAATATCGATTCAAATTATTAATAATCGCCCATGACTAAAGACTAGTAATGTAAATATTCGTAATTAAATACTATATACATAATATATAAGGGTGATACACTCGAGGTTTTAAGCAACTACTTGTAGCGATAAGCAGATTTAAACATTAACATTAATAATTGCCAAAAACATCAGTATTATGATATTTTTTTTAAATGTGTTAAAATTTAACAAATCTAATACTTAGTTAAATTTACGCGAATACTTGACATTTTAAATAAAACTATCTTTTCGGGTTTTTCTTGCTGATTTATTTAGATTTTTGGTTACCGACGTTTGTTATTTGTTGTTTAGTTGCTTTACAGCAATTTTGTTCACGGGAGTCTCTCCCGAAAAAAATCCGAAAAGATAGTTTTATTGAACGAATCTGCTATAGATCATAATATTTTATTTTAAAATAGTAAATATCTGCCAATAGTAAAAAGGTTTTATGTTTTTAGTTATCTAATACAATGTAAGCATTAATAAAAACCCTATCTCGATCAAGATTCTCTCTATAGTACCGAATTGACATTTTCCATTTTTTTTTTTTTGAGATTAGTTCAACAGATCTATGACTGCTTTATTAGTACATATTAGAGTTTTGTTAAACATCGACATCTTAAAATTACAAGAAGCAATTTATATTAAGTAACACGCTTTTCTCTAACGTTCTACTGTGATCAATTATTATTTTATTACTATCATGAGTTTGCTTTAAATTTGTTATATGAAGCAAATATTTGAATCTTTTGTCAATGACAATAGCAAAATGTTACTAGAATACTTACTTTTTTCTCGACAATGCTATTACTATATTTTATCAATTCTTTCTACCAAAGTACCAAAAGCATATAAGGAACATCAGATTTAAAGGATTATTTGTTTTTGTATGACTGTATACATAAGACACGTTTGATTTAATTTGAAAGATTTAGTCAATGTTTGTATTGCATATATATGAGGGCATTTCACGTGAAATTTTTACATATTAAGCTTTATTTTGCAATAGAAAAATTAAATTCAAATGGTTGACGTTATTAAAATATTCATTTTAAATACTTCCGTTTTAACACTAGAAAAAAATTCTAATATGGAATCTGTTTTAAAAATCAATAAGAACAATAAATTTTCTATACAAAACATAATTAATTGAATATGAAAAACAAATCCAAAGAAACCTTCCTTCAACCAGACCATTTATTTAGAATCCCATAATTTGACAACTAAATCTCAAATAAAAAAATAATATTATATGTACATGTCCATATCCCATAGAAGTATAAATATACCTAATATGAACGAATTTCAGAACTTAACTTTTTTCACTGTCCGCTTCACGTGAAATGTTCCATATATAAGAAACGACATATTCAATCTATGACATAAATAAGCAATACAATAATTATTTAAAAGATTTTATCAATTATTGTATTGCTTATATAAATCACAGCTTGAGCTCATAATACAAGGTCTTCTCATATAAAGAGGGGGTCTATATTATCTGGTACTACAAGCAAACACTATAACCAAAAGAAAGATTCATTGACGGGAAAATCTGAATCGCTTACAAAACCCTATTGCAGAGTGCACCACCCTCTTAATAGTCAAATATTTACCATTCCATTTTCTGTACAAAAATCGTCGCCATTTTCTTTTATAACTATCGTTGGGTTGTTTGAACATGACGATATTGTTCTGGACGTTTTACATTTTGAACATTCAACGACGACTATAGAATTATTGTCTATGTCAGTTTCGGTGCTGCTTGTACGACGGAGATGGTTTGAAGTTAGGCGGTGTTCGGTGATGGCTCGCCACAGCCGTAGTTCTACGCCACCTCTGTAAGAAATAAAAGATTCCAATCTTTTATATTTATTCTTTTTCATTATTTTTATTAAATCTATAAAGGGTTACCGATTTTAGAATAACTTAAATTTTATTATCACACACATAGTAAGTGAGTTTTTTTGCAAATTTTATGGTATTATTGGTATAATCTATTTATATAAAAAAATATTATAAAATTCCACTACTATTGGCGAAGATAACGCGTAACATAGATACATAAAATAAAATAAAAAATAGAGGCTTATTTAGTACTTTATTTTCGAAGTAGGTCAATAAGTATAAGAATAGCAAATGTCTGACTTCCATTGTTTTGGATAATCAAAAATGATAAAAGCCGTACATAAAGCGTCTTATATAGAAAATGTTTAGTGTTGATCATACAGTTATTTGCATGTACATACATATTTGTTGTATGACGTAAGTGAAATTTCATTTGGTTTTCTTTTTCTCCCGATCAATATAAAATTCGTGTACTTCCAAAAATATATATAGACGTGAAATACAGAATAAGTTTTGTGCAAACTAACATATTATTATTACTCGAACAAATTAATTACTAACTATTTATATACGACACAATATTAAAATTTTTAAAGTAAAAAATTAAAGTTATTTTTATTCCTTCCAATGTCGACCGAGCGAAGTCGAACAAACGTATTAACAGACCAAATAAAAAATTCAAAGCAACACTTACTTAAGGTTAAGTCTAGCTACATCCTCCCTCTGTGCGTGTTGCAGCAAATCGTTTAAGGTGTACTTTTGTTCCACGAGCGCGACCGCAGCGCTCTCAGGTACATTTCTGGACGACAACCAATCTTTGAATGCTTGCAGTTGTTCTGGATCGTGCTCCTCACTTTCGTCTATACTCCGGGTTTGATTCCTGGGTTATAAAATTTGTATAAGCGTTACATAGACTTGAACTATCGAAAATCTAATATATATAATCTACATATAATAATATTATGAGTCGAATCCGTACATTTAAAAATTTGGAAAATCTTATTGAAATAGACATTATTACCGATACAGAGACCGAATCTATGGTTTTTAGAATTTTTGTTTGTCTGTCTGTCTATGACCGCGTCACGAGAAAACTACTGAAGAGATTTTGATGAAATTTAGTATGATGATAACTGGTCGATCCGGGTCAATATATAGGGATACTTTTTACTGCAGGAAAACATCTCATCTCCGAGAAATCTATACTAAACGTGAAAATCTATATATTAGAATAAGAGTACTTATTCATTAATATATATTACATATACATGTGTTATGAAGGAGTAAATGTGTCTTTTATGGGAAAAAGTATCCTATAGAGTGCCATAAAATACGAACATATATTGATTTTCATTACAGTATAAAATGTGATTCCTGTGGGATAATAAATGTAAAAATATCTTACTTTGCTTTACTCTCCACAATTTCTTTTATTATTTGAGTTTGCATTTTCTGCTCTTCTAACATTAACCGAAGCAGCGCTTGGTATTGTTGGTAGCTGTCAATGAGCTCTTGTTGTAATCTGAAAAATATCAAATTAATTTCTTTGATAAATGGGTCAGCGTTTGAGAAGCCTGATGAGATATTTTTATACAGATATAAATGTTTTAAATAAGACTGTTGTCGGATTTTTTCGCGGGAAAAGCTAGTTTTATTGAAAATGTCAAATATCCGAGTAATAAAGAAAGGAATTATTAATATGATTGTTATTCAGCATAAAACATTTTTTTTATCAGCATATTGTAACTTGTTATATTACTTTCTCATAAAACAAGTATTGTTTACGTCTACATAATATATACTGTAGTCTTTGCTTTTCATGTTAAAATTAATGTAAAATTCTCTTATAGACTTTATCTAAATAAATTAAAAATTGGACGTGAAAAAAAAACGACTGAATAAAAGGGAAGTATGCTGAGATGTTAGCTATATCACCAGGTAGGGGCCATCCATAAATTATGTCACACGTTTTGACAGTTTATATGTTATGTTGAGATATTAATGAAATTTAATACACAGATAGTATATGTTCGCACAGGCAGTGGTAGCCCAGTGGTAACCCGAGTGGAAAACCGAGTGAAGCGGGTTCAAATCCCGGGTCTCGCACCTCTGATATTTTCATGTGCTAATCATTTCCAACATGATTACCACTTGTCTTAACGGTGAAGGAAAAACATCGTGAGGAAACCTGCATGTTTGAGAGAACCCAGCAAGTTTTTGAAAGATATGCGCACTGCTCAGTCCGCCCGCACTTGGCCGGTGGACTGTGGCCTGACCCCCCTCGTACCGAATGGAAGCCCGTGTCCAGCAATAGGACGTTGAAGAGGACAGAATACATACATACAATTATTTTGCTGAATTATCAATGTGCATAAAAGTTAATCAAAAATATTGCTTTGAAGATATACATAGGTTTTCAGAATACTACGCCGACTAAGAATCCCTTATTAATAAATAAAAACAAGATTAATTTATCAAATACGTAATGAACTTATAAGTTAGAAAGGTTTTATTATAAAATTGAATTATATAGGAAACCCTATAATATCCGCTTGGATCCTTTACGAGCTGTACAGCCGGCAGCAATTTGACTAAACTGTACAAAAAACGTTACAAAGTGTTGAACACATATGTTGGCACGTACTTGTGGTTGTCCTGTCGTATCTGGTGCAGCGCCAGCAGCGGGTCGCGCGCGGAGGCGGTGGACAGCGCGGAGGGCGACGCGTCGGGCGCGCGCCGCTCCGCCTCCTGCCCCGCCAGGTTCGCGCCCAGCTCTGGAATACCATATTCAATAAATATAAATAAATATGTTGGGACATTCACAATCACAATCTAGTTCCATGGTAAGCTACGACGCTTGTGCTATGGATACCAGATAGTTGATACAGTACACGTATAAAACTTTAAATACATACATATTATAAATATAAACATCCATGGTTGAAGTACAAACATTCGTTCTCATCACACAAATAAATGCCTCCAGCGGGACTCGAACCAGCAATCGCTGGCACAGCAAGTAGGGTCACTACAAACTGAGCCAAACGTGTCGTCAGAAATATTAAAATTCATTTGTTTAACCAAATCAAAACATCATACCTGGTGACAAAACAGTTATGGCCGCTTGCACAGCATTCCTCACAAGGTTGTCCAGAGCGAACATCCAATGTGGCTTTATACTATGCATTCTCAATACAACATTGACAGCTTCTTGGAACATATAAATAGCTGAGTGCAGTTCATTTATCGCATTCGCATCGAAATCCAATTCCTCCTTAAGTACTATTATTGCTCGCTCGATGACACTTCTATTTTGGTCCATTATATAATCTTTGAGCGCACACCGTAGAGTTTCTAGATGATTCTGTAACCATAAATGAAAGAATAATTTACTTATAATTATTCTAAGAAACTGAGAAATTTTATTATATGTATGTAATGAAAATCTACATATGTACACAAATATTTACATATTTCATTTAATATTTACGTAGTCCAAAATTATAAAAAAAATATATTATAATAAATTGATCTTTTGATTGAACTGCAAATAGTAGAGTAATTTAAGCATGTTGAATAATAATAATAATAGCCTTTATTCGTAAACTAAAAGTAGACTTAAAAAAACTTAAGGCAAACTTAAAACTTATTCTAGTATTTGCTAGTATTTGTTGCTTTTATTTTATCTTTTGCCGATCTGTTTGCGAATCGGCAAAGGCAAAGTTTTAAGTTTGCTTTAAGTTTTTTTTAAGTTTACGTTAGAATATTGTTATTAAGTTAAATTGATCTGAAGCATGTTGAATAGAAGCCTTTAAATAGTAGTACCTGGGCCACCGAGCTTCGCTCGGAGTTTTTCGTTAAAAATTACAATTTTCTTTAAAAAAAACTAAAAACTTGAATAAATACAAAAAAAAACAAAAAAAATTATACCTTTGTATCCGACCGGGATTCGAACCCTGTCACCTATGATTGTCAGTCAATCATCAATAAAAAAAATAAAAACTTGAATACATATTAAAAAAAAAAAGTATAAACTTTGTATGCGACCGAGATTGGAACCTGGACACCTGGGATTGTTGGTCTTGCACCTTGGCCGCTTGAACACGATGCTTATTATACCCGAGCGTGCAAATTACCGACCATATTTTGCGTGGAATAATGCAAAAAAAACTCCATGAAAACTCGAAAACACGCGTTTTCTCAGCCATAAGACTAATTTAGATCGATTTACCGCCCCCGAAACATCCTGTGTACTAAATTACATGAACAAAAAACTTAAATAAATACAAAAAAAACAAAAATAAATTATACCTTTGTATCCGACTGGGATTCGAACCTGGACACTTATTCAATCTTGCGCCTTGGCCGGTTGACCATGGTGCTTATATCCGAGCGTGCGAAATTATCGAAATAATATTTTGCGTGGAATAATGCAAAAAAACCCGCATGAAAATTCGAAAACACGCGTTTTCCCAGACACAAGACTAATCTAGATCTATTTATCGCCCACGAAACTCCTGGTGTACTAAATTTCATGAAAATCGTTGGAGCCGTTTCCGAGATTCAGATTATATATTGATATGTATACAAGAATTGCTTGATTTTGATTAGATATACATTGTAAAATGTATTTATTTTTAATTTTTATTTGAGATAATTTAAACTACTTTTTATATTAATTTGGCTTCCCATTTAAATAAAAAAAGTGAATGAATTAACAAATAATTCACTACTAATAACTTACAAGTGTTAGGACAGTATTTCCAAAGTCCTGTTGTATGCTGAGCATCCATTTGGAGCATATTTTCTCACTGTCCTGCTCTAACACGCGGGAGAGAGTGAGACGGCGCTGCGAGTCCTTCTTGAGGAGGTAGAACCCGTCGTGCTCTATGTCTATTGATGATCGAGGCACGTTTGTCATATCTACCTATAGAAGAAAAAGGTAAATTGTCTTTAAAACACTTTAAAGATAATTGGATTTTTTTTAAGTTTTAGTTCTATTCCCCTTAAAACAGAGATATCATAATATTAGCTTATTTTTTATTGATACTGGTTTTATTTATTAACATTTATTTACTTATTACTCAGTATAAAAATTGTCATTTGTATAATATTTAAAAAAATATATATTATTTTAATGCATTATTGTTTGGTTTTGTTTGTATGTTTAGTTTTATGACACTCTTTCTACATTATTCATTAGTCTGAGAATAAACACTAAACATACCTCTGGCGACAGCAAGCCCCCGGAAGAGCTTCGTCTATTCAAAATCGTGTCATTGCTATCCATTTCATCGGTCGACGGCGTGTTCGGCATTGTGCTAAAAGTGATATAAAATAATATAAATATATAATACTAAATCTATTTTACACGAATCTACTATATAATACTTAAGGTAATTTCTAATTAGTTATTAGTTGGTAAATAAGTTTATCAAAGCATTAATTAAAAAGAAAGTAGTTTCAATATATTTTACATTTAATTTTTAATCGTACATACAGTTAATGAGTGTTAATTTGAAACAGTGAAAGCTCAGTGATACTTGGCGTGCTGAATAATAAATAAACTGTGAGTGAATCGATGTGGGCTGTGATGTTAAAAAACAATATGGTAGACTAATTTAAATAACATCTTACACATATTCCTGTTATAATTTCATAGAATTCAATCAAACACAAGTATCTAACGGCTAGTATTACAAAAGCAATTACAATAATATATCCTCTAATTAACATATATTAATTAATTATTATTAGTAATAGACAACTGCAATCGATTTAAAAAATCGATATACGAAATAAAAAATAAACCAAAGCAATATCGATACGATCGTTTAGTTAAACTTAATCGGAATGGAACATCGATGTCAAAATATCAACACAAAATATACTCGAATTCTATGAAAATGTATCTAACTGTAGTTTTATGTACAATTTACCTGCTATTCAATAGGTCCGGTGGGTATATCAGTATCGGCGAGAGCATCGACGACGCCGTCCTAGTCATTGTTGGATTAGACCGCACCGTTTTAACCCTTGTGCGGAAAAACATATAACGCTTAGGGCACACACCATACAATTTAGTTAGTTTTATGTTATAACGCTCCAATGTTTATAAGATAATGAATATAGAAATGTGATGTGTCTAAATATGTTTGAAAAATGTCCGTTTTTTTAAATAAGGTGTATTAGGTTTGTTATATTAATTTTTGATTTGAAGGAAAGGATTTCTTATCGATTTGTTAGGCAGACTAATCGCCGATTTCACCAACATCACCTAAGTTTAAGGGATCCCCTAAGCATGGTTAGGGGGCTGTTAGGGGACAGTTTCTGTTTCACCGACAGTTAGGGGTCACCTAAATGTTAAAATGCCACCTAAATATATGTACTAGAAATACGGGCTCTGACGATGGTAAAACGAAATATAATTTAGGGGCTAGTTTAGGGGAACTTTTGAGCTAGGGATCCCATGCGTAGGTGGTAGCTTAAGTGATGTTGGTGAAATCGGGCATAATTATATTAAAATAATAAACTGCAATTTTTTTTTTTTTTTAATTCAACAATTTTGTCTGTATAGTGTAATAATGTAGTATATTAGTTAGACAGACGAAGAGGTATATGTAACAGATACAATGGACCTTTGAAAATGTTATGTTTATGAATGCTCATTCACCCTCTATCCATTTACTGTTTATTATTAATTTTTTTAAAAACCAATTTCGCTTTAATGGTGTTAAAAATATTAAACAAACAATTTTACAACCAATTAATTTCAAATTATCCCATATGGATATTGTATTTAATAATAATTAATCGTTTAGTTATTAACACTCAAAGTGTGAAAATGTTGCTAAAAATGAGATACCGAACAATCGGGTGCACTTACACGTTGATTCTAACAAAATCACCAGAATTCACAGCTCGTCAAAACAAAAACATAATCACATATTTATTTGTAATTAAATATATATAATACTTTCTTAGATTTGCACGAACATTTTATATTTTAAATAAATTTATCTTTTCGGATTTTTTCGAGGATTTATTTAGATTTTTGTTGTGCACAGTGCACTGTCTGTAACAACTATTTATTGACCTTTGAGATGTCTAAAACCTTAGTCTTTTCCTTGACCATGATTGCTGTTAGGGCTCGGAATCGGTTTAAAAAACCGGGTTATTTCGGTATTGTAATTGTTAATTCATCGCTCGTTCATTTACCGATTGAAAATAACAAAAGGAAAAAGGACGGTTTAGTAAACCGAAATAATAATGGTGTTAACGGTTATTTTTAGAGAAAGGTTGGATTTCGGTTTTGATACCGAAATAAACCGGTTAATTCATTCATAAGTAAGAAACGTACATGTATATTACTACTAACCAATTCACCATTAGCAGATTCGCTGAATGTAAACGCACAAAAAAATATTTTAACTGGTTAATTTTAATAATGGAACCTGAATTCGTCACTAACCGTTCTCCGGGATTTGACCGGTTAAAAAACGTAACCGAAACCTTAAACCGAAAAACCATTTGATGTGGGGTCAATGAACAAAACCGGTTATAAATTGAACGGGTGTCCGTGCACAGTTTGCTGTAAAACATTCGAAAAGTCGGGAACCAAAAATCAAAATAAATCCAGGAAAAAATCCAAAAAGATAGTTTTATTTAAATAAATTATAACAAAATATTAGTTTCTAATGTAAATGTCTATTCTATATGATAGTATGGTACACTGTAAGCTCCCATAAACCATATCCATGGATGGTGACACCATACACAATGCACGAGATACAAATTATAACTCAAATTACAACATATACCCGAAACTATGTCATGCTACTAAATAAATAGGTGATTATTTCTAAAATGTGATCTTGAATGTAAAATCCATGCTATCTTCATCCAGTGGAAGCTCTAGAGTAATTAGTGTAAGAAATATCTTTATTCGTAAACATCCCTTAGATATGAAAAATATATAAATTTTGGTTTTAATAAGCACTTTTAAGTCTGTTATAAATAATTGTTTAATATTTTGATGTATTATCCACTAACTTCTACTATCTAATATATAAATATCTCGTGTCACGGTGTTTGTGGTCGCACTCCTCCGAAACGGCTCGACCGATTTTAATAAAAAAAAATGTATATATATATTTGGTAGGTATGATAATAGGTCGTAAAATATTTTTCACCTTCCTACCCCAACTTCCCATGTTTATAAAAATTAGTATTGAGTACAAAAAACACGCATTGTAATAAATATCTTTAATTGATTATATAGATATAAATGTATTGGAGTAGGAGTTTTTTTGGACGAAATCATTATTACATGATTTGGTGTTTACAATTTTTAAAAACTAACGTGCTAAATAATATCTAGAAACATCTAAAACAAATATATAGTTATTTCTAAGAGACATTCCCGAATAAAGATGTGATTCAATGGCTAAATCTAATAGCTAAAGCGGGACTTACTCGATTTCGGGAGAACTAGGCAAATTTCCAGGCATACTTGTTTCTGATATTTTCTTTTGAGCGAGAGAAGCTCGCACCTTGTCTGCAGGCACCGATATACTTCGGCTATAGTCGATGCTGTTACCGAGACGTGTTGAGGATTTCTTTTTCCTGTAATTTATTTAATTTTAATTTAAAGTTTATTTTTCTTCTTAATATCACGCACAAATGGCATGTGCGAATCATTTCCATATGCTAATATAGCGAAGGAAAAATTGTGAGGAATTTTTTTTGAAGAACTGAATATTTTTCGTGTAAAGTTGTCAACCCGCACTTGGTCAGTGGTGGCCGCTCGTATTGAAAGGAGGTCGATACCCAGCAGTGGGACGTTAAAAGAGTTGAATTATTATAAGCCGGGGAAAGGATTTTGATGAAGCTTGTCACTTAGAAAGGCCATGTTTTAGACTAATACTTTAATCCATGTCATACATGCATATGGGTTATTATTTATGAACAACACATTAGCTCTAAACTTAACGATGATGGCACTGTAATAGCGCTGACAAGAAAAAAAATCGGACCAGTGTGAATGTGACACGCACACGAAAGGTTCCATGGCATACAACATTAAAATAAGTTTATACTCTATACGGAGTTTTCACTTTACTTGTGCTTATGAAATTACTTCTTGCCAAATTTTATAAATCTAGGTCAACAGGAAGTACCCTACCGTACCGGTTTTGATTTCGAGTATCAAAATAGGCGGCATAAGCGGCCGTACCTTTCTATTGCGTTGTCTTAGAAGTTTAATATTTTCACAGCCTTAAGGGATTGCAGACCTGAATATTTGATATTAATTTCATTACGCGGTATTAAGTAATACCGCGTTCCTGAGAAAAAGGGTTTGACAAAAAACAGACAGACGGACTAACAGCGAAGTGACCCTATAAGGGTTCTTTTTTTCCATTTGAGGCACGGAACCCTAAAAAGCAAGAAATCACAAGTAGAAATGGTTTACAATAAGATACGAATTATATTAGTATACTTACTCGCATAAGAAAGGATCTTCTAATAATTCAGCGGCCGTAGCTCTCTTCTCGGGTTCCGGTATGAAGCAGCGCAGAATGAAGTTCTTTGCCTTCACCGATAATTCACTGGGCATTTCCGGATGCATTTTATAATATCCCACCTAAAATTTTATATTCATAAATGTAGTTTATTATAGTTATATTGTTATGTATTCAGCCCTTTTCAACGTTCCACTGCTGGGCGCGGGCCTCTCTTCAATACAAGGGCCATAGGTCACCACGCTGGCCAAGTGCGGGCGGACTACACATGTCTTTCGAAAACTTGCTAGGTTCTACCAGACATACATTTCACTACGATGTTTTTCTTCAAGACAAGTGGTTATGATTGATGTTCTGATATGAAAATATCAGAGGTGCGAGTCCGGGATTTGAACCCGTTTCACTCCGTTCTCCAGCAAGCGCGTTACCACTGGGCTACCACTGCCTGGTTATATTGTTATATTTGTTTGAAACCATGTTTCTATTTTGTTTTGGTTAATTAATACTATTACAAATCTATATAAATCTAAATATAAAAATATCAAATTAATTAAAATAAGCTATAATAAAACACTACGATTCTACAAACATTTATCTAGTACATAATTAATAATACACAAAGTACGAATCCTACTGTAGGTATATACCAAATTATATATACAAGAAAGCAATAACTAAACACAACAGACATTTTACCTTAAATAAAGCTGCTTGAGGCGATCCCAACTCCATAAAGGGCGGGTTTCCCGTCGCCATTTCCACCACCGTGCAGCCTAACGACCATATATCAGCCTAAAGAGAATAAATAAGCGTCACTTAATATTTCTACTATACTAGAAGAAGAGTTAAATCTAACACTATATTTAATTTAAAAATAGCAGGAAGTTATAGCAAGTCTAAGTGTTAACTATTAGAAATAGCTTGAAATTACAAAATAATAATAACAATTATTATTATAATAATTTAAAAAAATGTTATAACATTAATCAGTCACAGGCCATGAGTTTGATTTGTACATATTTTAAGTATTGTAATTGATTAATATATACTAATATTATAAACGTGAAATTTTTGTAGGTATGGGTGTATGGATGTCTGTCACTCTTTCACGCCAGAATGGCTGAACGGATCTGGATGCACAGAGATTAGATTATAGTCTGTAATAGCACGTAGGCTACTTTTTATCCCGGAAAAATGTACGGTTCCCGTAGGATATTATTTTTGTGTAGCTAGAGGCAAGCCCGAGCGAAGCGAGGGTGAGCCGCTAGTTAATTATATAAAGAAAACATTTTTTCTTTGTCACACTCTCACGTAATAACTACTGAACGTAGTGGGTATGGAGCTTTGACCAATCGACGTGGGGTTGTCTGTAGATGGTTTTAGGATATATTTATTTATTTCAAGAATTCCATACACCCTTCACATTTTTTTTTACTTTCATAAATATTTCTTTCCGCCAATAAAAACGAAAGAAGTTGCACTTTTTTTTTCTTTTTTTTATTAACTTAAATACCAAACTAACGACCAAAAGTAACATTTCCGTATGTCCATAAAAGCAGTCAGGTGATAGTTAGTACAACATACATTGAGTTTACAATGTCAAACTATTTTACTCTCAACCGAGTCCTCCATCCACTAGTGTAAGACCCACTATTCGATTGATAATTTCGGAAATTTATTTGAAATGTCAAATATTCGCATGAATCTAAAAATTATTGGGTGCACAAAACGTGCAAACTTTTCATAATAATTGTTTGGGCTTAGGTTGTTTACAAATGAATTGTGTGAAAAATTTATTTTCACTTATAGGTAAGGGACATTAACACATATAAATTATTGATACACTACACATATATAACTTTAAATACATACATATTATAAATATAAACACCCATGACTAGAGTACACACATTTGTGCTCATCACACAAATGAATGCCCCCAGCGGGAATCAAACCCGCGACCGCAGGTACAGCAAGTAGAGTCACTACGAACTGAGCCAAACGTGTCGTCAAACAATTATATTCTTGTGTACATGAATAAAATTAAGATTGTAATATATACATATATTTTTGTTGAATATCTTCTTTAAGTAATCAATTTCTTATATTTAATTTGAGTAACCTCTTCCACAGCAGTAAGAAGAAAAATTATACAATAAACTATTTCATCGCAATTACTCCTAATATGAATACCGATAAAGATAGTGCCAAAATTAATTATAGAATGACATTATACTATAAATTTAATAGTTTGGCAAACTGTGTGCTGGGAAAATTTATTTAATTTGAAATCCAATTGGTTGGTTGGTTTTGAAATTAACAAATAAGAAAATTAAATAGACTTATAGGACTTGCTATAGACCTATAAGTCTATTTAGTTTACAAAAAAAAAGTATTTATCATATAAAAGAAAGTTTTTTCACACATCGGTGAGTCACTCATTTAATATCTTAAAATATTAAACGAGTAATTCTTGTATATAAAGTTTCGTGTATCTCGGAAACGGTTCTAACGATTTGGGTCAAATTTTGTATTAAGACAAGGTTATGCTTTTTAGTTTGTTTTTTTAGACGTCTTCTCTGAAAAAAAAAACGCTATTTTTACATCTTTTCCGCAAAAAAACGATCTGACAAAACACCGAGAGACGATCGGTCACCGCACTTAATATTTAATGTACAAGATACATTCTTCTAATTGAAAAATATTATAAAAGATGACCGCCTCGTGCAGTTAGACATGAGTAATTATCCTTTATTAAGAAATAAGCTTCATACAATCGCTTAGCGATAGATACACTACTACATAAGGCGGCGGTGTACTCGTTTTCTATTTACACGACCTGACAGTGTCAACAGCTCGAACCGGTAAGAACCAGTTTTGTCAACGGGTGGCGTATCTTTTAATATTTGCCATTTGGAAGAAAGTATTTTGTCCTCTTGATATTAACAATGCCGTGTTTACTTAATTGATCAAATTATTTATTGCCGCATATTTAGGTCTCACCCTCGGCCATATAAAGTATATATATGTGTTCTATGTACGTATCCAGAGTCATTATGGAAAACAACACAAATAGGGCCGTTGAATGTAAGTTAAGTAAATTGAAATTCAATTCAAACATGGTCACGGGAGTCTCTCTCGAAATAAATCCGAAAAGACAGTTTCTTTAAAAATGAAATACTCGCGTAAATCTAACAATGTATTAATACTTACTGGAGCACCATAACCCCGTTGTCCTTTATCGATGACCTCTGGGGCCATGTACTGTAAAGTGCCAGCAAAGGTCTCAGTAGAAGGACACAAACCAGCGAGTCGCTTAGATGTGCCGAAGTCGGATATCTTCACCACTCCGCTATAGGTATTCACAAGTACGTTGTCGCCTTTTATATCGCGGTGAACGATTTTCTGATCGTGAAGGTACTTGAGACCTGTGAAAATTTAATGAGTGATTTCATTGCTTGTGCCTATTATAATACAGACTCGGTCTAGTACAGTCTGTAATAAACTGAAGTAAACAACTTATAAATTATGTAATTAGCTTATTCTGAGCTTTTTAAATTTTCGCGTTTCATAATTATTATATAATAATTACACTACGGGAATTAAATGCTTGAACTTGCTAGTGGCTTATATACCTTATTCCCGATGTTTCGACTAGGTTGTACCAGCAGTGGTCACGGGCAGTCTGCCCGTGTTGTTTAAGTCCCGTAGTGTAATTACTATATTATTCTGAGCTTATTATGAATAAATGCAATTTATGCTATTAAAGTTTATATTTATTTATTTCATTATAAACTAGTTTTGGCCTCTCGCGTCACTCACACTAGTGTATTTCAAATCGGAAGTACTAAGTATAAAAATTGAATTTACTTGAGAAAGTAAATATGTAAATATAAATTAAAAAGAAATGGAATATTTTACTTTACAGAAAAAGGACGTGTAATTTTTCGATTTCTTGAGATTGTAAATAATTATACTTGCCTTCCAAAATCTGTTTGGTATAATAAGCGATAGTTGCTTCGTTTTCTTTGAGTGGACCCCATTTGGATCTTAGCAAGGCTGAGAGCGAGCCTCCAGGAACTTGTTCCATGAAAATCTTGAAGTAATTGTCTTCTGATATAGAACCGAGGTACTGTAAATATGTAAAATAAATAAGAACAAGTTTATTTTTATTTTTCTTAGTTGATGCAAATGCGTCATTTGATAATTTAACCACAGTTTAATAATAATATTAATAAATGTCGCATTTTGAAGGTTTTCTTTGTTAAAGCTTAGCTATAATAGTTTAAATTTGTATATGTCACGAGTTATTGGGACGGAAACAACATTCTTCGTCAAAAGGACAGATACAAATCACTTTACTTCTTAATTTCTAAGTTTAAATATGCATGCGTGAGTGTGCATTGTTAGCATCATATCAGAAAAAAAAGAATCCTTCGATCTTTTAACTGTCTATCTTTAATTTACTATCCTGAAGTTTTAAATACATACATAAATCATTAATATTATTATGCACATGCGCGATTTTATAAAAATAAAATACCTGTACGATATTCCTGTGTCTAAGCTGTGAATGCAGCAATATTTCCTCGTGCAAAGGCTGTACATCACCTAAGTTCTTTTCGGGGATCTCTTTGACAGCGATCCTCACTTGCGTGTTGAGATCCCGAGCCGCGTACACCACACCGTACGTACCTTTACCGAGTACCACTCTTTTGTTGCAATCGTCTAATTCGTATTCGAACTGGAATTAATAATATAAATAAATAAATATGTTGAGACATTAACACACAGCACCATCTAGTTCCATGGTAACGAGGCTTGTGTTGTGGATACCAGATAGTTGATACACTACAAATATCCCCCCCAACGTGCGTTCACCTTGTCGTGGTGGGGGGGCTCAGTAGTGTACTCGCGAAGCTAAGAAACGCACAGGGAGGAGGCCCGCTTCGGTGGGCGGTGGGAGGCGGCCTTCTTCGGAGGGTGGTGTACCATGCGGGTTGCTCCTGGTACTTCTCTGATAGCAGAGTAGACCTTGGAGCAACCCCATGGTTGTTGTGGTCTGCTTCGGCAGACCTGCCGTCAGGGCGTCGTAGTTGAATGCGTAAGCGATCCTGCGACGCCCCATTAAGACGGGGGAAGGTTTTGTTGGGTTTTAGTGGGTAGTACTGGCTTCGCCGGTGAGTCCCACACTTCGTGCGTAAATGCATTTCCCAACGTTAAAAAAAAACTACAAATATACTACTTCAAATACATATATATTATAATACATATATACTAGAGTACAGACGTTCGTGCTCATCACACAAACGAATTACCCCAGCGGGACTCGAACCCACGACCGCTGGCACAGCAAGTACAGTCGCTACAAACTGAGCCAAACGTGTCGCCTATAATATAATATACTCGCTTTAGGTTCAGATTGAAGCGGTTTCAAACCTTGGGTCTTTCATATGTGAGATTTTTTATAGTAACGCCTAATAGATGTAGGAAGACCTGCATGTCTGAGAGAAACTAAGGATTTTCAAAAGACTCGCATGATAGGATAGGAGGGAAATTATTTACACTAATATTATAAATAGGTAAAGTTTGTAATTTATATGTAGGGGGTAATCCTTGAAAGTACTGACCTATTCTAAATATGTTTTCACTAAAAATAAGGTACTTTAGTAAGGTGCTATATGGCGATAAAAATGTGTTTATTGTTAGAAATTAAATAACTTTAATTGAAATCGAAATAAAGGGAGCAGTTGCGTTTTTGGCGTGCGCTAGCTAAATAATTTGAAATAATGGAATAAAATAAAATGTATGACATAAAGACGCGATAGAACTACAACACACTTATGAGAGTGTTGAAAAGTATGATATATTAGCAAGGATAAAATTTTATTTTAAGGATTTTATAAAAAAAATTATTGAAGAATTTTAATTTTTGCACTTTGAAAACAAGACGATCGACTGCAACTGGCTACAGCAACAACTAGTTCCTTCGCTTGTTACATTTAACTTTCACCAAGAGTTTTCTTAAAAAGCACTAATTTAAAGATTATCCTAAAATATTTTGATATTGATAACTTAAAGATGAGCCAATTCACTGTTCAGATCACAACATACCTTTAACTGATCTTGCATGACGCTGGTATCTAAATCAGCGACTTTCTCGTGGTCAGCCGTGAGCTCTCCCAGAAGATCGTACAAATGTTGGCGAAATGCTTGGGACGGGAGGAAAATTTGAAAATCGTCTGAATTCTCGCTCACGTACAGGAAAAGACAACGTTCATCACGTTTATATAAACTGTAATAGAAGCAATTATTTATTGCATTTTTAAAATTTTAAATGTAATACATAAGGGATGTTTTGAAGTATTTATTCTCTGTTAGTATTTATGGAGATATTCGTAATAAACAGGAATTTTTGAATTTTTCTAATAACGCGCAATCCATTTTCGATTTAGTCGCATAATGTTTCAGACAACAAACTAAGGATAACAATAACTTTTTATCTAAAGAGATATGTATAAGACTAATCTTATTTATAATTTTATCATAAAAGTCCCGTAGCATATTTTTTTTTATATGTGCTTACATAATTTATTACGTTAAAATTAAAAAGAACATATACCTAAAAAATGAAAATATACCATATCTCAACAACTACTTAACGTATTTGGACACAATATTTACGAATTTAGAACCATATAATTCTACCACTATACCTTGAATAAAAAAGTCACTTAGAAACATGCTTATGTAGACAAAAAGAAATCTTCTTTCACTTACCTGTATGACTAGCGACTCACCCTGTATTCGCTGCGGGTTCGTACCTAGACAAACCTATCCCACGGGAACCGTAATTTTTCCAGGATGATATATAGCCTATAGCCTTCCTCAATAAACGGGCTGTCTAATGCAAAAAGAATTATTCAAATCGGATTAGTAGTTCCTGAAATTAGCACGTTCAAACTAACAAACAAACTCTGCCTCTTTATAAAATTATAACTAGCGACTCACCCTCGCTTCGTCGCTCAGGTTCGTCATTAGCTTGCTTCCCAATACAATCTTTCATCCCCATTTTCACCCCCTCAAGATATGATTTCCGGGTTAAAAAGTATCCTATGTCCTTCCTAGGGTCTCAAACTATCTTCTTACCAAATTTCATCTAAATCGGTTCAGTAGATCCAGAGATTACCAACAACGTCACAAACTCACAAACTTTACCTCTTTATAATATTAGTATAGATAAGTATAGAAGTACCACCCTTATTTTATTTATCGTATTTAATTGAACTAAATATGAAATTGACTAGCGATACACATGAGACACGTATCTAGCAAATTCCAGCAATACAGCTCCAATAAACTGAGTGAAAAGTGTTACATACGGACACACAGACATAAATTTTTTTATTAGGGTTCCGTTTTTGCCATTTGCCTATTAAACCCTAAAAAATATAAGCAAACCCTAATAAGTATAATAATCTAATTATTTTATACTGCATTACTGCAATATTCATGGGGATCTCTAATTTTCTTGAAAATAAAATAATATGGCCTTGTTACTCGCTGATACTGTATGTATCTTTTGATAGGTGAAAGAATTTTTAAAATTGGTCCAGTAGTTTTTTTACTTTATCCATTACAAACAAACATACAAAAAAAAACATATTTTTTTTGTGTGTTTATTTAATAATAGTTTAGTTTGTCTAATATTATAAAGAGTTTGTTTATTTGAACGCGCTAATATCAGGAAATACTAATACGATTTTAATAAATATTTTTGCATCAGATAGCCCGGTTATTGACGAATCCTATAAGCTATATATTATCATGATAATACCCAAGGGAGCGGAGCAGTAATCATAAATGTCAACAAAACGGTCTGCGCGTTTTGTTGACATTCATGATTACTGCTCCGCTATTCCATACATTATTATTTATTAATAATAAGCATAAAGCCAAAAAATGATTTTTTTGTAGTATTAGCACAAGCGAAGCCGCGATTTCTGCTATTAGATGGATAAAACTAACCTGTAAGACCTAATCATATCGGAGGTGAACAGCCAGCGGTGCACCTGCCGGCAAGTGCCGCGCATCTGCTCCAGGCACAGGTTGAATATCTCTATAGACTTCTGCTCCGCGCCCATGTTCACGTTCAGATACGACGGTATGAACACTTTTGTTGTTTCTAGAATCACCACCTGGAATGAGTTTGACGACATGTTTGACTCAGTTTGTGGTGACCCTGCTTGCTGTGCCAGCGGTCGCGAGTTCGAGTCCCGCTAGGGACATTCATTTTTGTCATGAGCACAAATGTTTGTACTCCAATCATGGGTGTTTATATTTATAACATGTATGTATTTAAAGTTATCCATGTGTAGTGTATCAACTATCTGGTATCCATAACACAAACCTCGTAGCTTACTATGGAACTAGACGGTGTTGTGTGTTAATGTCCCAACATATTTGTTTATTTATTTAATATTGCATTCTGCGCATCGGAATGTACGATATTCAGAGACGTCAATAAGTTTGAATCGTACTTTACTATGTTATTTTTTAATCTATACATACAAATGAATAAAATTGAAGCGTCCCTTTGTAATCTTAAAATAACAGCTCTTTACTAAATGCATAAGACTTATATACGATACTTATAAGAAAAAAAAAGCAAAATTTTGTTTGTCTGTCTGTTTGTTCCGGCTAATCTTGGAAACAGCTGGACCGATTTTGACGGGACTTTCACTGGCAAATAGCTGATGTTATAAGAAGTAGCTTCCCTAGCTAGCGTTTGCGAGCCTACGCATCCGAGCGAAGAAAGTGTATGACGCTAGTTATAAATACTTTGTTGATTAAAAACGTGCCTTTGAAAAGAGGACATTTTAGGATAATCAATAATTATAATTAAATCACGATTGGCGAAGATATCGGCCAGTCTATTTTGTTTGTCTCATTGTACAGCTGTAACAAAAACAACGGACACAAAAACACATTTCTATTGAGTGATAACTTTTTTTAAATCAATATGTTTTTGTTTTTTTTTTTTTCAAAACAACATCCTACCCAAATTTAAACACTTACGGGAAAGCGTATAATATTTTCACATGTGCTTTTAGTTGCCTCTACGAAAAACTCCATCCAGAACGAAAAAATTTGCTGCTCTGCTGATATTTCTTCACTTTTTCTAAACCTAGAAAAATATAATCTATTAAGTCAAATGTTGTTTGTTTTTAAATGAATTCATGAATGAAAATGTATTTCAATTTTTCTTAACAATAATTGTATTGTGGTTTTCCATAGTAATTTGTAAAGAGCACGTCATACGTATATATAATATACATATATGTATACCCTAACAACAAAACATCTGTCTGTTAACTGAAGGACCACTCCTCACATTATACCTTTTTTTAAATATTTTATTAATTATATGTCTTTTATGGGATTATAAATTATTAGAAATAAAAAAAATATTTTCGAATTTTTATTCCGTGCTTTTATTTTGTTTTTTATCTTAACTTTTCTTCCAAATTATGTGTAAAATTATGTTATATGTATAGTTTTTGTGATCTGACACACAACCTTTGAGATGGCAACCCCCTAAGTTCCTCCATAACAATGTCTGCAGTATTAAACATTCGAAACGTCTAGAACAATTACATACATTAATTTTGAATAACAAAATTATTTACCTATCAATAAGCTCTATATTTCCTATAGTAGACTTCAAGTACCAATTAGGCGGTTTCAGTTTGAACATACATTCAGCAGCTTGTATCGCTTTCACGTAGTCCTGAGCCAAAACTGAGATTTCAAAGAATGTTGCCACATCCCAATAATCCTTTAAAGAGGATAAGCTGCCTTTTTTACCTATTAAATGGTTAAGTACCATACCTGAAAAAAAACCACTTGTAAAATATTTTAAATTATTCCTGGTTTGAATTATATTGAATGATATTCAATAAAAACAAATAAAAAAATATGATACTGAAATACTTTTAATAAAAAATTACGACTTCAAAATTAATTAAAGGTAATAATTTCGCCTTTAGAAGTGAAATAACTAAGTTAAAATTTTACTTTATATGGGACCACTCTTGAGGTATTAGTGTATAACCACAGACTAAAGAATTATATAGACAGCCAAAATAAATGTCAAAGTCATAGATAGTAGCGTGATTTGCTGTATATGCTACTATTCTCAATTTTGTCATACAGATCGTGTACTTCCTTTAAAGAATAAAGATTTTTTTTATATGTATTAGTTAATGTTAATATATAATTTTTGAAAATAAAATATGAATCATAAAAATAATAATGTATGTTTTTTTAAATTATAATCAAATTCGTTACTCGTAAGCTATATTTATTTATTAATATTTATTTACTTCTCAGTATACACTGTCATTTGGATACTATTTTAAAACATTGCAGTTTAGCTTCATGTTTAATTCTGTGACACTCTTTCTATATTACTCCTTAGTCGGAGTGTATAATATATTCATTAAAAAAATAATCCTGAAAGTTGATTCACAAACGGCAAAGATATCGCATAACAAACACGAATTGTGTACCTCCTCCATTTTAAAGTAGGTCAAACCCATTTGACATAAATACGCTTATTTGGTTTTCAATAGTATAAATATTACTCATGTTTAAAACGTTGGTCTTTGTCAAAACGAAAAAACAAAAATAAAACAAAAGTTTAATTATATTGATGATATTATATATTAACATTATGGTAAAAGTATATATAAACCTATCGTTTCCCCGCGTCTCCACACACGAAATTTAATTATATACAAGTATAAGTATATAATATAGCCTACGTGTTACTCTGATGTATAATCTATATTACTGTAAAGTTTCACCAAAATCCGTTCAGTAGCTTTTGCACGCAAATCTCTTTCACGAAAGAGTAAAAAACATCTATACATCCATCTTCACTCGCGTTCATAATATTAGTAGAATTAGGATTATTACAAATCTCAAATGCTATGCTGATTTGTATTGTAAATTGTTTATCATGAACGAATTAGAGACTGGACCTGACATAAAATACAAATGTATGAAAACTAGTTCAACCAAGTGACGCATAACGCACACAAAGATTTTATTACATTATTATAAACACTGATACACAATACAATATTTCTAGTGCTTGAACGTAATCGATAAAATACATATATCGATGAACCAATGAATGACATTTTAGACATTGGTTAGCATAGTCATCATATTTTACATATTTTAATTTATTCTTCTTCTTTTAATTTTAATAAATTAAAATAAATGAATTAAAGAGGCAATAATAATGTGTCAAATATAAATTATTTTTTAATTTGATTTATATAAATACGATGGCATTGATGGCAATATTCTGTTGGCCTATAATAATGTTAATGAACAAATGAATATTGGGTATATATTCCATTAATATATAATAAATATTATTTTGTAAAGATTAAAAAAAATATTAAGCTAATTTAATTAAATAAAGTGATTTGGTTGATTCTGTTATTGAACTATTTTAATTGGCAATTGATTGTCTCGGGTAGTTATAAAAATTTGACACTGTCCTAATATTGCTCAGTTCTTAATAAACATTTGTGAAATTAGGAAAAAGAAAAAGAGATTGCAAATTAAAGTGAGTGTTGGATCGTGAAAGTAAAATAATTAGTGCAAGTGGTAAAGTGTTTTATTACAAGTCGCCAACCCAGAAGTTTAGTGTTAAAACATTATTGTTTGATTTTGTGTAATTTATGTATTGAAATAAAATGATATTTATTATTATTACAATGGAATAATATTCCAAAGTATATAAATGTGGAATAAAATAAAATAAAAAATTAAGTACACATACTAATTATACTTTTTGCATTTATATTTTTATTTGATTTACAAAATATTTTTATAAATTTATAGTCATCAGATTGTAGGATACTGTGGTAAAAGTATTTTATGTTATTGTACTGTACAAATAACACAATTCGTTTAGTAATTTCGTCAAATATCGATATATTTTTCGACATTGTCAAGCACTAGTCGATGTCAAATGGACTCACTCGACAGTTTAGTCATTTGTTCTGAATGGTATAATCCAGGGATTTTATGATGGTTATCAGATGTCAACAATACATAGAAATATCGACTATATTTAACATAGTTGGATAATATGACATTTTATTTTACATTTAATTAAATTGTGTGATAAATAACAATATATGTAATAAAATAATGTATTTACAAGTGAAAAGAAATACTGCTGCTTCCGCCGTTATAGTTTTTACATAATTTAACAGAACATTTAGTCATTTTTGGGAGATGTTTTGTTGACAAATAAGTGCTTGAGACTGACGCAAAAAACAAACGACCAAGCCTAAAATCTCCTGGTTACTGAGAAGACCGATAAAGGTACGTCCGCTTATATGTCTAGTCCAGTGGTTAATTCGTTCATGTTGTTTATTTAAACAAGTGTTTGTTTTTTTTTAATAATGACACAATAATCCATATAGCTTGCTATGCGGTTTTAGATAAACAATGCAAGTCAAAACAAACGGTTAAATATATATTTTATTAACCACAAATGCGCCAAAATAATTAAAAGTAGGTACGATTATTTTTACTTATATTTATTTAATTTGAAAATACGTTTATTTTCAAAGTAAACAAATAAAAGTATCGCTTACACGAATTTACATTACTAAGATCACTATCCCGATTTCCATATGACAAAAGAAATATCTGAACTTTCACGTCGTAAATGATTGATTTTTGAAATATTATATAAGTGCTAGACAAAAACAAATCTATCCCACGGGAACTACATTTTTCAAACTACATTTTTCTTTGTGCAAACTTTCATCCAGATCCGTGCAACCTTTTTGGCGTGAAAGAGTAACAAACATCCATACTCACAAACTCCTTACTGACATTTATAATATTTATACAGATTAAGGAGAACAAAGAATCCTTTGTAATGATGACTTTTTTACTTTTGTCTCTTTTAAGGATGTAATATTTTTATAATTGTTAAGTATTCCAATAAGAATATTCCCTTCAAGAATCTTGTAATTTGGAATTGTCTATCAATCATTCAAACTTTCCATACTTATAAATACACTAGCAACTTACCCTCACTTCGTTCAGGTACGTCCCTGGCAGTTTAGAGAAAAATCCGGAATAAAAAATACTGTATACGTAGCCCTACAACAAACTCCTTTATCTTTCAGTGAAAGTCTAATTACAATCGGTTAAGCCGTTCCAAAGATTACCCCGGACAAAAAGACAGAAAGACAAACACAAAATTAAAAAAAAAATGATTAGTGTACCTACCATTTTAGGTATTATATAAATCACTCTATTTACTTGAGAAAACATAACTACATATTTTTAAATCTCAGACACTAATATTATTTATATGTGCTTATACAAGTAACGCTTACACTATGAGTACATATATATAATATATAATTTATATAATATATAACAATTAATTATTACAGGTGCCCTTGTTGTATTCAGACATATAGACCCGAATTATTCTATACGACTAGCTCACCACCTATCGTACGTTGACAGTATTATGAGATTTAAATTTTTACCAACAGACAAATAAATACCTATTCATTCTATATATAAATATATGGATAAAAATTAACGTTCACGTTAACATACCTATATGTTGTAATTCTTGTGAGTTTTTAAACTCATTTCCAGCTATAACTAGTAGTGTTGCCAAATTAATACCCGCATATTCGTTTGGCTGCACTTCGAAACCCTGTCTGTACCTGCAAATAATGATTAGATAAGAAAAAAAATACACACAAAAACAAAGAGCAATTAACAATTTTATTGTATAAAGACATTACGGCATTTGTCAAGGCCAAAATCCCAAGCCACTTTAGTTTTGAAATATATACTAATGTATTAGTTGAAGAGACTTAGTTTAAAGTCGCAAATCTCTGTAACTACCAGTTCGTTTTTTTTTAATATTTTATAATGTTACGTAGGTAGTGAAGATCACACTAAGAGCACATGAATCCGTATTAATATTATAAGTGTAAAAGTTTGAGAGTATGTATGGATGTTTGTTACTCTTTCACGCCAGAACAGCTGAACGGATCTGGATGAAGTTTGGCACAGAGATAAATTATAGTCTGAAATAACACATAGACCACTTTTGATCCCAGAAAAATGTACGGTTCCCGTGGGATAGGTTTGTTTTTGTTTACCTAGTGGTGAACCATTGTAAATAAAACTATATTACGAGAGCAGAGCCGCGGGCAATATCTATATTCTGTTACATCCTTCAAGGAATAAACAAACAGACACATTACAAATTATCTAAAATGATGCAAAATACCTAATTTCATTTAGTATTACACAATAAAATGAGTCACTATTAATTTAGAATAAATTAATTAGCACGACTTTAAATATACAGTATACAAAATTATTGGGTAAACACATACCAATGTATAGCATTAGTCAAACTCTCTACGTCCGTGTGTTGAGATTCTACAAATTTATCCTTATATATGCGACCGCAAAGGCACAACATATCGGGAAATCTATTTTCTTTCTTTTCTAACGCCTTCACACAAACTTTTAAAGCGTTTTCTCTGTCACCCTCTTTATTTCTCCTGAAAACAGATAATTAATTGAAAAATTTAGTATACACGGTATTTTTCATGTTTTTTAGAACTTTATTACAAATTCTATGAACATTTTGTTACTATCAATAAATAAAAATTGAATCCCATATAAATATTATAAATGCAAAAGTTTGGATGGACGGATGTTTGTTACTCAATCACTCCAGAACGGCTGAACGGATCTGGATAAAATTTGGCACAGATAGATAAAAGCCTGGAACAGGTTACTTTTTATCCCGATAAATTTGTTTTTGTTTTTCACAGAACAAGAGATCGACTATATAAATAGAGCGACTTTAAAAAATATAAAAAAAAATAAGATAGCAAATTACGACTTACCTGTTCATAGCAAACGCATACATAAACCTAATAATCGGCATATTGACATAGTTCTTTCTATTCATTATGGTTTTGAGATCGTCAACAATTTGGACTATTGCGTCATAGTCCTGTATTTCACGGTATGATATCAAAAGATTTAATATCGTATCTCCAGATAGAACCGCAGGATCGTCCAGGCGTCTTCGCATCGCGTGTAGCACGTTGGCCAACTCTGTACCGCTATAGGTTTCACGAGCTTTGCGTAGATCAGATAGGAACTTTTCTTGTATGTGAGCTCTGAGAACAATATTCTTAATAATTATATATTTTGTTCTGGGTATTTTAATTGTTTTAAAACTTGCTAAAACCTATGAGTTTGCATGCGTTTCTTCTATTTATTGTTAGTCTAGACTCACTAAAAAATACCTTCGTTTATATATGGAAACGTATAGAACTGGGAATTTGACCTTAGTTTATAATAATGCTTTGTAGATTACAAAAGTTTTATTTAAATCTGTTCAACAAGTAGAGACAGAAACCAAAAAAATCTAGCAGCTATCGATTCGCCATTTAATTCCTATAATTACATACAAGCATCCATCAAACACAAAAAAACCTTTAAAAATTAATATAATATTTTATATATATATATATATATATATATATATATATATATATAATGTACAAGTAACTACAATAATTTTATCATTTTTTTCATTATTTATAAATATTTGAAGTGGTGCGTACATAACTACATAAAAACTGACTTTTGTCTTTCGGATTTGACCACCTACAACTGGCGTTAAGTTTGTTTTTTATTTGGAATTAAAAATAGTTAAAAATATAATTATGTAGAATATGTATTGATCTTTCAACATTTTTGGCCGTCTGCCTGTCTGATCGGAATTTCCGTGTGCCAGGGTGGTCTTAGACAAGTTATTTATAATACACCCATTAACTTTGTAATATGACCTATATAAATAACAAATACGTATAATTGTGTATTAAGGTACATTTTATAGTAAATATTTTATTATTTCTGCAGCACAAAAATCTGTTACTTACATCGATCTAATATTAAAAATAGTTAGTGCAGTTTTGACGAAAAACTTAAAGCGTCATAATAGTTGGTAAAAACTTTTGTTCTTAAGAATTTATTTAGCACGCTACTTGTTAGTTAGAATGTGAAAGGGGAAGTACCTACGTAGGCATATATCAACTATTTCATCGACTAAAGTAAATCAAGAACAGAAGAGAAAACCACGCACATTTTATCATACCAGTAAAAATGTTATAGATCGTTCAATTATTATAATTAATTGTATCAATGACAATGATGACAACACAATCTCGCCGTGGGCGTATATTTATGTACACAATAAAGTAATAACTTTATGAGAAAATGTCAGACCCATAAGCCAGTTTATGCATTCATTTGCATATTAAATTATTTTTAAAATATCTAGATTATTATCGATTTACTAGAATTAACTTTTAAACGTATTGCGTTTAATGTAATTTAACGTCAAGTAAAAACTGAATAGTGGTCAATATTTATAAATAAACAGAATGTTATCTTAAACTTTTGTAACGTATAAGTACTTTAAAAATCTGTTATTTTTTACTTAATATATATATATTTTTAGCTACTACTGCTACTTACGGTGAAGGAAAACATCGTAAGGAAACCTGCATATCTAAAAAACCTAGCAATTGTTCGAAAGACATGTAAAGATCGCGTAATCTAAGTTTGCTATGGCACAAGCCGCCTCTAATATAATATAATTAAAAATAACTTTTAAACTTTTACTATTAATGAACATCTTCACTACATAGTATAAAACAAAGTCGCTTTCTCTGTCCCTATATCCCTATGTATGCTTTAATCTTTAAAACTACGCATCGGATTTTGATGCGGTTTTTTTTAATAGATAGAGTGATTCAAGAGGAAGGTTTTAGTATATAATTTGTTAAGTTTTTGTATACATTGGCTAAAATATAAGGATATTTGTTAGAGGTGTCGAAAAAAAAAAACGTCTGGGAGCTTTCAACGAAAACGCTGCCTAAACCCTTTGAGATATAACAAAATAATGTATGGTGGAATTGTGTATCTTATATAGGTCTACAGAAAAGTCCTCGATGGCATATGTCTATCTCTTAAGGATAAAAGGGAAGAACCCAAGCGAAGCGAGGGTAAGTCTACTTATTATACGCTAGTCATAGAGTAAATGAACTTACTTGGTTTGGACTTCAACATCCTGAAGGATATTTTTGAGTCGTAAAGTCAAATGTTGTTTTGGGTCCGGTGCTTCTTCACCTTTAAATTTAGCTGCAGCCGGGTTCGTTATAACGCATGTACCCGCATCTGTTAGCTTGTACGACACGAATAGGAAGTTTGGCAGAGATATCTGGAAAATAAACAATGCTATTGGAAACGCTTTAAATCCCACTGTAATATAAAACTGATAACTGCATTCTCATTACATTTATCAGATCTTTCACTTTCAGAAATGAATGATACTGGATTATTTTAGATGACTGCTTAGTGCCTATTTTTTAGGGTTCCGTAGCTAAATGGAAATAATGGAACCCTTATAGTTTCATCATGTCCGTCTGTCATTATGCCAATTTTCCCCAACTACCTTGTTTAGAAATTCAACTATAATTTTTTTTTAAAACCGATTACCCGTTCTCAAGTGATGGGCCTTTTATGAATTACATTTTTAATACCATATTATAATACATAGATTAAAAATTAAAATTTCTCATTAATTCCGTTCAGCCTTTCTCAAATACACAACACGGACAAAATTATAAAGACTAAAATTGGCTCATATTTCATTCTGATCATTCTGCAAGCACTAAATTTTGACAAACTTTTAATGTAAAATTTTGACCTCGTAACTACTTTATTCCATGTCCCTAAACATTTTGCATTTACACCTACTTGGAAAACATTTTAATCAATTTCCGTGTTTTAACTTTGAAATAGAAATTCAGTTATATTAACATATATCCAAATGTTAGTCCCACCACGACCGCGGACACGCCGGCATTATAGTTAACAATAGATTTCTTAGAAATTTAATTAATTTCTTAGATATTTATCTGGTGCTAATAGTTCTGGATATCAACGGTAACGGCGAAGGAAAACATCGTGAGGAAACCTGCATGTCTGAGAGAACCTATCAAGTTTTCGAAAGACATGGGAAGTCCGCCAACTTGGCCAGCCTGGTGGACTATAGCCTGATCTCCCTCATAGAGAAGGAAGGCCCGTGCCCAGCAGTGGGTCGTTAACAAGAGCTGAATACAATACTATAATCTTATTGACCGAGCGAGCGAAGCGTCTTTGGTTCAAATTTGGCAAAATCTACTTTCCTCTGTCTGTTTGTTGGTACTCGTCTACGGGTCGTATTTTACAACCGATCTGTGCGAAACTTGGTACCTATACAGGTATTACGACTCTATAGTTTTTTTTGCCGTCGAGGATTTTTTATTTGAGAGGTATTTCCTCCAAAAAGGAGCCAAAAGGGGGCTACCGGATATCTCTGCCTTATGAGATCTGATTTCGATGGTTGGTCTTTTTTATTTGAAAGTTAGTAACTTTAAGTTGGTCTCATAAAAATTTGGTCATGATCTAATGAGGTTCTTCGGCGTGATGAGTAGAGTAACTCCCCAAAATGCAGTTTGTGCTCGCGAGGTTTATTGTTCGCAGTAGTAAAGTGTTTTCACTTTGCTTGGAAGAATTGTCTAATAACCATACAGTGAAAGAGTTTTATATTTATCGTAAAAATGGAAGGTATAATTTAGTTATTCTAATTTGAAGATGATACATGTCGCAGTAATTTAATAAAGCAACAGGTGATCAGGGTCTGTTTACAATATATAGAAGTTTTTTTTCCTTGCTCATTTTTATATGTTTTCTACTACGAGTAATGACTACATATTAAAGAAGGAGAACCTTATATTTCTATTGACCCCACTATTATTAAATATCCTAGTAGATTCCGCTTTACCAATACTAATTTTTACCTACGGTTTGCTCACATTCTAAGCAAAGCCGGGTAAAGCAGGGGAAAGTCACTTAGGCATTGTATCCCTACCTCGTTTAGTATGCATGCATAACATTTCCATGGAATCTATGTCCTTGCTAAATTTCATTGAAATGTGCTCAGCAGTTGAATCACAAATATGGATGGACATTATGGATTCAAGCAGGATCTATCCGATTTTAAAAAAGAACAGTTATTTTTAACTGACGTAGATAGAACGTGCAATAGAAAAGTGTAAAAATGTGTTTTTATAACATTCAAAATTTCATGTCTTACAACAACATTTTCAAAAAAATATTTTCTATTTTAATTAAGTTAACATATACATTATACATATTAAATGAAAACGAAAACATTATATAAGCTTATTATAAAAAAAAAAAATTGTTTTCCCCAGTCAATGTGAGATATGATTCTGTTTATGTAACAAAGCCTGCATAGAGCAATTGAGAAATTGAGAGTAATAACTATAGATATTGTCATTCAAGGCTTTGGTAACAGTATAGCATGTACCTGCTACATGCTCTATACTTACTAACAATGTTCTTCCATATATACTCAAAATAACAAACAATATATTTTTTTAATTATACATACAGACAGAAATTTTATGTTTCATTATATACTTATTAATTTTGTTCGTAATTGCAAAATGCACATAAATAAAAAGTATATTTATTCTTTATCCACCAAAGGCACTGTGAAAAACTTTCAGTCTCTTCAATCATGTCTCATTTAAGAGTGACTGATTTCAATAAAAAAAAAAATATTGCACAACAGTAGGCAGTACCACATATGGTTTTTGTAGATAAAAATTTCATACAAATGCCCTTAATTAGTGAAGAAAAAGTGCTATTAATGCAATTTTAATTAAATAATTCTGTTAGATACATAGATACAATTTGAGTTATAAATTGTGATGTAATTTTCAAGAAAGTGGCCATTATTTTTATTTAATAAATATACTATTTCTTGTATTTAATAGAACACATGTTAAATTCATCATAAATTAAAAAAAAATCTACACTATACACTGGCACATACACAATTCATATCTAGACGAAACTTCTTTGTGTCGCAATATAACACTGCAACAGTGACTACTGACTACAGAATTGAATAATATCTTCAGCCTTGCTATTATGATTGTCCTTTGTGAATTGTTAATCATATACATAACAATAAATATATTTATCACAATTTAGTGTATAACTAAAATATGTGTTATTAATGTCTAGATCATATTTATTATAACTCAATTGGTCTTATTGCTTAAATAATTATTGGTATATAATGTTTTTTTTCTGAGTCTTAGAATATTTCAATTTATGAAGTCTACATAGAACATCTATTTTAGGTCTTTGAAGAAAATATGAAATAATGTACTGATAAGTTATAATAAGTTATATTGAAATATTTGTACTTACTTTAAGCCGTAAAGTAGCGTCTGAGTCCACATCGTTATACAACAGAACATTTTCCTTCATATCAAAACTCTCTCGAACTCCAAGGTGATACAACAAGGAGCTCTGTTGTACTTGTAGACTGAGATCCACAAGGGCCACATCCGCATTGTAAAAGGTATCCAATACACTGGTTTCACCGAAGTCTAGTTTTTCAAACTGTTACAAGAGATAAATATTTATAATATGTATGTATTTGAACGTTATATATGTGTAGTATCTGGTATCCATAACAATAAGTCACGTAGCTTACCATAGAACTAGATGGTGCACTGTGTTAATGTCCCAACATATTTAGATAATAATGTCATTAGCAGATTCTATTTTTAACTACAGTTAATATTTAAGAGATCTGATCTAAATACTAATATGTAATTTGAAAAATAGTGTACAGACTTTAAGTTACCAAAAGACGAAGAAAAAGTAGTCGAAGGATGTCTTAGAAAGATATAGATAATAGACAGTAATAGTGATAATTAAAGTTGACACTTAAAGCATGCACTGTAATTAGTGATAACAAAATTTGAAAACCCATATAATTCATGTAAAGTGGAGAAAATAACATTTAAACACCAAGAAATAATACAGAGTAAACACATTCACCATGACCGAAGAATTCAAGAGACCACACAGGTTTTATTATTTAGTGCATGAATAAACTTTCAAGCATTATTTCACTGAATAAAGTTGTCTAAATTGATTTTTCTCAGTTGAGCATACTCTTTAAAAAAATATTTATAGTTTATATTGACATTTTTAATAAATTTTTTTATTTTTATTTATGAAATAGTAAGTAAATAAATATACAGACAATATTATCAGTAAAACAAATTTTGGACTTACTTGAATATGGTGTAAGTTTGCATTTACAAGGTCGGAAGCCAGGCGCACTTCTTCCAATGCTCTTTTCCTGTGAGCAAGGTTCAATGTTTGGGTCACGTCCAAAACACATGCGATGTCCATACGGGGCCTTTGATTAGCCCCTGGTTGCACGGTAGCGTTTGATCCATCACTACAAACACTTTCGCAAATGCTTCTTACGTCGCCTAAAATGAAAGATAAATTATTATGTTACAAATTCTAAATTTCGTCGTTAACAATCGTATATTATTTTCGTACCAGATTCTTCCGTAGCTGTGGAAGTGTTCGAGGCACCGAAGGTTATCATTTTCTACTTTGCTCACAGAAGGATTGCATATTTTTGGAAAAACTGCTTCAAAATTTAATATCTACATAAAATTACTAAAGGCTAACAAAAACCACAACAAGTACTCGCCAGCTTGTTATTTAATAATAGTGCTGTCAACTTCAGTTTTCATTTTCGAAATATTTGTTAGAACTCGAAGAATATTAGTTACAAGAAATCGATAATCGACTGGTATAATAGATTTTAGTTACATTTCGAATATTATAATTTATGAGTTACATTGGAAAGATTTTTAAGTACTATTTGTTAGCATTATTTTAAAAGAAAAAAATAGCGAAGTGTGAACTAGACTAGCGTGAAGTATATAGGTAATAAAGGAATTACGATTTTTTTGTAGAAATTAAGTCAGTTTTGATCAGTAGGTTTCCCATGTTCTTTGTTTTCTTTTTTTTTTTTTCTTTCTTTTTCTTATTCTTTTGTTTCACAACCGACACGATCCCGCCGAGTCCAGCATGATTAAGGAAAAAGCATTATACACCAAATGGTGGTAAGAGGATATCTCGCACAACGGAATGCATCGTATTAACGTCGGAGATCAGGCCATCATGAGTATCTCTTTTACAAGGGAATTTTTAATAGCCCTATAGTGGATTTTATTTTCAGTTTAACATTCCTATCAAAATGGTTGCTTCGTACTTAAGAAAAGTAACAATTCTCTGCTATTCTGATGCGTGTTCAAGTACGGATTCTTTCGATATACTAGTGGCTAGATTGGAAGCCTTGTTTTAATATAGCGATTGATATCTTACCTAAAACTTTACAGAAAATTTGGGAAAATCAAGTAATTCTTCTCCAACTGTGACAAAAACTCAGATTACCTTATTTAAGCACAATTAGGAGTACTATTATTCGCTATCTTCACAGCTTCCCAGAAGCGAGTTAGTATTTAGTATTTTCTCTATTATTAGGCTAAGATTTGGCGCTTTCCAATCAATGTCGGTAGCTGAGGTGGTGTTAATAATGTGACTTGCATGTTGGTAAAATCCAATGTGTAAATATAAGTGATTCGCAGGAACACCTAGTTAATGTTTTAAATATTATCAAGAGAATTCCTTCTATGCACATGTTATTAAATTTAAAAAGTATACATTTTATATCATTTCTAGATATTTTTAAAATAACTTTTGGAAGAGATAATTAATAAAAAGAGCAGTCATTTCAAAAACTTGGCTAAAAAATAAACATAAATTAAATAAAAATTTTTTTTTTGGTTGTATAATAATGATGTTATGTAAAACCCCTCATCAAATAACCCTATTAAAAAAGGCAAAACAATAAGATAGGCATTCTGATTTTATATCGATTCCCTAACATCAATGTTTTAGATATCATTATTTGCATCTCTATTAGTTAGTGGCCTTGAGCATTCCTTTTGTTACTGTGCCATCTACATGAAAATATGTCAACTAATACTTAGTTGATATATTAATAATTTAATACATTACAAAATAGATGGCTCTTTATTTGCATCTATTTTTAAGAAAGTTTATTTAATTATTTTAATTTTTCAATGTAAATTAAGTTCAATGTGACTAATATTCAATGTCATATAATACCCTACTTAACTAAAATAGCTTTGAAAATGTCCTATAACAAGTTATTTTTAATTAAGAAGGCTGCCACCTAGATGGCGCTTTACTCATATAACATGGTATTATATTAATTATAATTTTTCAGGCTTTTAATTGTTTTTCATGTTGATTTTATTTATTTCTTTTGATAAACAAAAGACCCTTTGATTCTTTAGAAGTTTATTTCGTTATTTGCATATGGAAAACTCAACACAGGAGTATTCAAATGTCCGCAGGGGTGTTGCAGTGAGTGCGAAAGCGATCCTGCACGCCCCATTGCACTGCGGCGAAGGGTTCCGCTGTGGGTTTTAGTGAGGAGTCTCACAGTACCCTGCCCATGACGGCGGCAGGGTCCCCATGACGGGTTTCCCCAGCGGAAACAAAAAAAAAAAAGGAGTATTCAAATGTACTTACGTCTTTCAGCTTACTTAATGGTCCTAAGGAGATACCCTGATACATTCTTAGATTTACGTGGATATTTGACATTTTAAATTAAACTATCTTTTCAGATTTTTTCCCCGACGTTTCGAATGCTTTACAGCAATTATGGTCACGGGAGAGACTCTCTGCCGTCTAACGCTAGGAACCAAAAATCAAAATAAATTTGCGAAAAAGTTTTAATTATTTTCATCATAATAACATCAATAGATCTAAAATTATGAATTTATCGATCAATCATCAAAGTTAGTTTTGCGATTTGCTGGTAGGTTAGGTTAGGATAGTTATTATTTGTAAAATCCAATGCCTTATATAGTTTTCATAAAATTTTAATTTGAAATATTACCTATAGTTTTAAAAATATCTATATTATAAAAATGAATGCACTATATAATTAAAGGAATTTCATGTACTTAATTATTTTATTAACGTTCTCTTGTAGGTTTCGTGTTTAGAGACCTAATCTGGGAACCCATTGTTTTAATTTCCATTTTGTTTTCTTTATTATTTGCTAGATAATTCATAGAGCTATTTTTTTACATTTTCTGTATCTACTGACTGATTTATTTTTTAAGCTTTTTTATTTCTTTGTGATAATATTGTATTAACACATTTTATCTTAGCATAAAAATTCTTTCTAAATTCTTTCTTATTTCCGCCTTTGATAGTCTACTTACTACGCCATCTAGCGCTTACTGAAACCTAACAAAAGAGAAAGGAAGAAACTGCTTTTCACGTACGAGAAGCCGCGGATAAAAAAAATCAGGTGTACAAAGAAAAAGTCAAATCATTTAGCTACGAATTAATATTTTAATGAAATAGGTACAATTCTTATTTGGATACAAAGATCACAGTTGAATAAATTAATAACAAATATTATTTAAGTATAAAATCTGAGCTGTTACAAAAATATGAAATCAAAATTGATGTAAAAAGTAGATATGAGGTGTTTTATCTTAGCATAATAAGTAGGTTTAATATTTATTAAATATTTATTAATGGTAATCAATTACTAATACATAATATTAGGTATAACTACTGATAAGTAACTAGAAAAGTTTTGAGATTTTAATTATTCTATAGTTCAATATAATATTTATTATCCACTTAAAATACAAAAAAATCTTTGGTTGATATAATAACTAAAAAGATTTAAAATATTATAGAAATTTTATTTTTTTACAATACGACTGGAGCTCTTCGGATATTCTGATACTTCACTTGCCGAGGATTATTTTGCGTGATGCGCCAAAGTTCTGTCCCGACTGTGACGCCATTTTGTTTGTACCTGCTTGTAGTCCGATAACAGCTTCTCCCGCACGTAGAACGTCTTCACTGAATTCACGGCGGTTTTCTTCAGCGGGCTTTGGCCACAGATAAGGACCACGCCATTCTGGGTGTTTGTATGTCTGTAAAATATATCAAACATTTAGAAATAGATATACCTACTATGTTTATGAAAAACTTTCCTAAAAACTAAAAAAAAACATAGGTAAACTCTTCTGTAAGATGAAATGATTTTTAAATCTGAGCAAGTTATTTTTTTTCTTGTTAATAAAAAAAAATAGGAATAAATTTCTTGCCAATGATGGTTAAACATTACTACAAATAAAAAATGTAGTACCGTCCTGCCAAGGGCGAAGATTGTTTGTGTGACTAGTGCGATGTTTTTTTGGTCCCACAAGTCTGTGGTTTGGAAGAGGTCTGTATCTGGAACTCCATATTTGACGCATGCTTTTTGAAATCTGTAAATGAGATAGTATATTTCATTAATAATAATCTACAATAGGCAAGTACCTACCTAGCTCATGGGGTTAGTGAAAAAAATTAGTTTCATTAAATGTCAATAGATGGGGTAATGTGTATGGATTTATCTTGAAGTTTGGGTAAAATTAAAAAAATATTAAAATAAATCTCAAGAAGGTTTGTTGTGGTTTTAAAAATAGGTAGTAAATAAAGGAAAGCGGAATAATACACTCGAATTTTTATGTAATTTTACTGATTATTGATAGATCACCCTTTTCAACCGACTTCAAAAAGGAGAAGGTTCTCAATTCGACTGTATTTTTTTTTTTTTATGTTTGTTACCTCAGAACTCCGTCATTTATGAACCGATTTGGACAATTTTTGTGTTGTTTGAAAGTGTATACTTCCAGATTGGTTCCATTTAAATTAAAAAAAAAATACCACTCCTAAGGGTGGAAAAATAGCTAATGATGAATTTAACCTACTTCTAATTGTCATATTGACTTGAAACTTTGCCGGTGTTTCTATTTCCGTTGATAGTACAGTGGTTCGGTATTGTTGACCTGATCTGATGGTAAGGCCAGAAGGTGGATAGGTGGAACTCTTCAACGGCTAATAGTAGATACTTTGAGTTTGGGCTTATTTTGTTCGATTTGACAAGCTTAACACGTTAGAATACTTTGCTACTACTGTCTACACTAAAAAGGGAAAAATAAAAACTTTTTAACAAAAAAATAAAAACCGACTTCAAACAAAAGCACTAAAAAGTAAAAAATAACTGATTGGTAGTTTTCATTTACTATACATACCTAATCAAATATTTTCGAAGTCGGTGTGCTTTGGCTAAGTAATTAAAGCCTACCTATTAAATACATATATTCCTAATCAAATATTTTTGAAATCGGTGTCAGCCCATACAAAGCAAAGCACACTGACTTCGAAAATATTTGATTAGGTATGTATAGTAAATGAAAACTACCAATCAGTTATTTTTTACTTTTTAGTGCTTTTGTTAGCTAATAGTTTTGTACATATTACTACTAATAGGTATAGTTTTATATGATCTGTGATATTACATATTAGCAGATGGCTCTATTTCATTTTTACCGGTTGTTTTACGACGGTTAAATACTGTTAAAGTCACTGAAGATTGTTTTATTAGATGCAGAATAAATATATTGTTATTCTTAACGACTCAACTAGCGACCCTGGGTAGGTTTTACGGTAGTGATTTCCATACAAAATAAACAATTCAGAACTTTTTCGATTTCCCAGCTGTTTTTTTGGGTTTTCCCTATATTTTTTATATTTAAACTACCCCTGACACACCCTCAACAAAACAAAAAAATAATATTTAAATTTTTTGAGTTTTAACGAGACTAACGAATAGCAATTGATTTTTATATACGTATATATATTTTAGTACATACCTACATATTTGTAAAACAATATAGTTACTATGATTAAGCAGTAGATAAGGTACACTTACGCACCAACAAATAAAATATAATTAGAATTTAAAACATACTGGCTAATATTGTCCATAAACTTGTAGTCTCCTCCCGACACATTGACTTTTTGGATGATACCAGGCTGCAGTCTATTCATGAGCTTGCACAGAATTATTCCGTCCCTGAGAGCGAACTCGTATGGCAGATCTGCTGGGAATTTTTCGCCTGTGACAGCTTCTATCCATCTTTGCGCTTCTAGTTCCTTTTCAGGTTCGCGTTTTCCGGCACACTGAAACAATTATAATATTTTTTTTAATAATAATAATATTTCTTGAACAATCAAGACACATAAAACGCTAAACAATATAGCATACAAAAATAAACATACCTACATCTATTATTATACAGAATAATTAGTTTTTAGACCTCAATTTAAATTAGGCTGTGTCGACACAAAATATATGGTAGCCTCTGTTGCCGTACTAGGAGACCTGTATTACGGCATATAGCGCCTCTCCCCCATATATCAGTATTTATCAATTTATCTTAAGCCATATTTAGATATAAAGGGACTTTTTTTAACATCCCAAAGGGTATATAATATAATAATGTAATATTATATTACTACACATAATTGGTAATAAGAATATAAACACACATAATATAGTATTTATAAATATTAAAAATAAATATAAAATGATATGATATAATATTACTGAATGATAAAATTACTGAATATATGTATGTATTAGACAAAAATAATATATAAGTGCACACATAATGAGGTGCCTGTGCATGTTTTAGAATGTGGCGAATACGGCATGGATTTTCCATAGGTAGTAATGTGCTCTACAACACGCATTTACGTTTTATTTCAATTTTCTTGTTATGGCTTTAAAGTGTACAAGTTGAGCACAGATTACTTAGACAATGTAACGTAGAATGGTGATGGTGACGTATCAGCTTATTTTTTATTTTGATAAACAGTTAAATATTAATTAATATAAACAATATAAAAATATCAGAATAAATTACTTAAATTTTTTTAAGGGGTTTCCCAGCACGTGCCAAGCTAAACGTACTTGGACTTTTTTGGACTTGTGCCAGCGTAAGATGTATTTATAGTTTATATATTAAAATTAATAAATGTTTCCTCTTTATAAATAAGAAACATTTTAAAATTTACTTTTGAAAGTATATAAATAGCTTATTTTTTTAAGTTAGGAGATAAAGTAAGTCAGTCAGGCAGTTTATTTTTCATGAATATTTTCTATTGTTAGTTACTTTTTCTACTATCAAGATCCAGCAAAAAATATATAAATATAAACAATTAATATCAAATTATAGTTTAAGTACCTATTTATATCTAAATGGGTTGAAGGACATAAATATTGATCAGCAATTAAGCTAATTCTTCAATATACATATAATATGAATGCTTATTGTAAAATTAAATACGCGTAACTGAAACGTAAAGTGTTTCCACAATGTTTGTTCTGACATCATTCAGTGCACTCTAAAATAATCTAATATTAGTTTATAGCTAGATTAATGACAACGAACAAACATAAATATTTCTCTCACAGTTGTTTTAATGCTAATCTCGTCTATATTTAATAATTGTTAGACACGAACAAAGTGTAAAATAAAAAGCAAAACGCAAGAATCATGGTAAGTTATTTGAAATCAAACGTCGTGTTCTTTGGAGATTCAAGAGCATTATACGTTTGTATATAAAACGACTTACATAACCGTCTAGTTTTTCCAGTTTTTTCGTTCACTTTTCTAGAATTACGTAAACTTACTCATCTATTTGTAATGTTGCTGTAATTTAGTATTTATTAATTACAGATCGATTACAGATAGATACAGAACCCGCGGCTTCGCTCGCGCTAAAACTACAAAAAATCTTTAAAAAGGTAGTTTTACACAAACTTTCATCCCCTATTTTACCCCCTTATAGCATGAATTTCGAAAAATGCTAAATCACGTAGGTATTTATTTAATTTTATTAAAGAGTTTTAATACCAAGTTTCAAGTAATTCTGATCATAAGTATTTTTTGAATTGTATTATAACATGTTTTTCCGTGGGAATTAGATATTTTCCCGCGGTAAAGAGTCTAGCCTATCTCACTCTCCAGCCCTCCGGCTATCTCCACACAAAAAATCACGCCAATCCGTATTGACGTGAAAGAGGGACAAACAAATAAACATGCAACAGACACTTTCGTATTTATAATATTAGTATGGATATCAAAGTAACCATAATATATAATTTGTAATACGAATTATTTATAGTTACATGCAATAATTTATACTAGTGATCAATCGAGTTGATAATTATTGTCTTATTGACACACTCGACTGCGAATTATAATAGATGGCATTCCAAAGATCGGCTTGATGAATTGCGTTCGAATTGTGTTGGATACCGAATATATATTTTTGTTGTGACAATAATAATATGTGCCAGCGATTTTGCTAAATTAATAGCCAAATGTATTTATTAGTGTATTTATTTGTATGAATACGGAAAATTAGAAACATTCATAAAAAAGTCAAACAACTTAAATTGTAACTTTGAATGAAATCCTAGAACCTACGCAATAGTACAATTAAATATTATTGTTATAAGTGGCTGTTGGCTGTTATTACTATATATTTATTGCAGATTTAGCCAATTCAACCAAAATCAAATTAGAATATAGAAAAAGTAAATTTTCAGTGGCAGAGTCATCTACACTACTATTATAAACACAAAAACTACTGGACCGATTAGATGAAATTTGGTAAGAAGATAGTTTAAGACCTTGGGAAGGACATAGAATATTTTTTATTCTGAAAATCATCCCTTAAGGGGGTAAAATCTGGATGGAAAGTTGTATAGGGATCAACCTAGGGACGAACCCGAGCGAAGCGTCAGTGAGTCGCTAGTATTCTTTAACAATAATACAGTATGTTATAGTAGCTGATAATAATTATTGATCCTTTAGTCCAATATTAAGTAATTATGAAAAAAATAGAGCAAAAACCTAATTACAGATGGTCGGACATGTAGTTGTAAAAACGTCGTGAAATGTTCTTAATGCGATTCAGATTAAAAACTCAAATAGAATTGAAACCGGAAATTGCATCACAGAAATTTCTAGCGATTTTATAAAATGTTATAAGTATATGCCTATGTTTATGAAAAATCTTTACTTTTTATAACAAATTATTAATGTTTATGATTTGATAATGAGTTTTTGATTAACTAGCGATTCACACTCGCTTCACTGGGGTTCATCCCTAGTTGAGTTTTAACGTTTAGTATAGATGTCTCAGAGACGAGATAATTTCCCCGCAGTAAAAAGTATCATATATGTTGAGTTAGGTAGCCAGCTATCATCATACCAAATTTCATCGAAATCTGTCCAGTGGTTTTCTCGTGACGCGTTCCCAGATTGACAGACAGGCAAAAATTCTAAAAATTATGGATTTGGCCTATGTATCGATAATAAATAATTCAATTCAATAAGATTTTCCAAAAAATATTTAATGTACAGATTCGACTCAGTTAAAACTTTATTATATGTATAGATAAGTTCTTTATATTCATGTGTGCTATGTATGTAATATGTATATTTTATTGTAAAATTATAAAAATCCCTTAATTCATAAGAAATAAAAGGGTTTGCCCTGAAAATTGAATTTTCATATAAACTTTTTTCTGTATACTGAAAATGTTTAGATATTATTATTATGCATATATCATAACGCTATTCAGTCATGAAACATCACGTCTGAAATGGTCCATCATGCGATCGTAGGCTGAAAGGCAATGGTGTAATAACTATAATTACGTATGCGCTTGAGTTTAGCTTGTTGAAAACAACTGTCCGAATGACGCCCGCCGCCCCCGCCGACGCTGACCGGCTTTGGGCGGGCGGATTCAAAGCCAGTCCACATTTTGATACGGATCAGGACACTTGTCCCATTAGTGCTCATTAAAAGTTGTCATATCAAGATGCCTGTAAGAACTTGATTAACTTTTAATTTTTAACACTTAATATTTATATAATCATAAAATTCATCACACAAACTTTGCTCGAAAACTTATTTTAAGTCTTTGTGAAAGATATCTTAAACACTGTGTTTGCTTAATATTTCTCTTCTAACACTATTCAGTTTTGTCAATGACGTTGGCGTTAAAAATATCTGCATCAGTTTTAATTCATGACTGCAGCACAGCTGTGCGCTATCATGAATTACTGCACAGGTCCTTTTAACACGAAAGCTTTCCAGACGCATCATTGAGATAACATCCATAAGTTTGCTTTAACGTTATTTTCGGATATGATTCTGGAATCCGGTCGTTGTACCATCAAACGACTTGGCACTGGAGCAGATATTTTATGGCCGTAGTTCAAAAAGTTTGCTTTTATTTACGTCTCTGACATAAACTCTGAGAGAAACATATGTTTTTAGGCTAGAAACAAGGAACAAGAGGAGGAGGTCCTAACCTGGATCGCCGATGTGCTCGGGGAGCCGTTGCCGAAGGGAGCGTATGAGGATGTTCTCAAAGATGGTGTCATTTTGTGTAAGCTTATCAACAAATTAGCTCCTGGATCCGTCAAAAAAATTCAAGAACGAGGAACTAATTTCCAACTTATGGAAAACATTCAAAGGTACTCAATCGAAATAATGCAAGCTTGTCATTGTTATTTATTGCTTTTATATGCATTGACGATTACGTGTGCAAAAAAATATATTTACGACTACATCGCAAATTCCAGGTTTCAGGCAGCTATTAAAAAGTATGGCGTTCCAGAGGAGGAAATTTTCCAGACGGCTGATCTGTTTGAGAGGCGTAACATTCCTCAAGTCACCTTGTGTTTATACTCTTTGGGTAGAATCGTAAGTGTTTTATTACGTGCCTTTATCTAAAGACAATTATTTAATAATAAACTTCAAATCAAATATCTGAGTACTGGTTATCAAATAGTGTAATAGTTTTTTAAATGTAATACTTTTGTAAAACTCAATCAATATAATTTTTTGCAGACACAAAAGCACCCTGAATTCAATGGCCCACATCTAGGTCCCAAGATGGCAGAAAAGAACGAGAGAACCTTCACAGAAGAACAACTTAAAGCTCACAACGCTGAACTTAACCTTCAGATGGGCTTTAACAAAGGAGCCTCACAAGCCGGCCACGGTGGCTTTGGCAATACCCGTCATATGTAATTAAGGCGAAACTAATTATACGTCAACGCCAAGTATATATTCGGGAAATCAGTATTTTTCAACATTTTGGCTAATTTATCTTTAAACTCAAATTTAATGTTATTTTTATGTTGCTTGATGTATGTTTGTTATCTTCAATTTGTTTTTAGAAGTGAGTTTACACGCGATGGGTTTAAATGTAATAAAATTAGAGACTAACAAATTTTATCTTAGCTAAAGCCTCTTTACCTGACTAATCTTATTTTGTAAATATTTTATACTATTAAATATTTTTTTCTATATTTACTGAATTATTTTGATCCTCGACTCTAAAATAATCATTAAATAATCTTGGTGCTATATAAAATATTTAGTTATACCGTTTTTGTTAACCTTATAAATAACAAAATAACATAAATTAGTGCTAAAATATTATGTCAGTTGCACTACTAAATTAATTTTAAAGAATATATCATTATTATTATGTCGGTAATGAAAATTAATTTGCCATATTCCAGATGAAATGCCAGATAGTGCCAAGATTAATTTAAACATACCACGTACATTATTTGCCAGTACAGTATCGTTATAATTAATTAATTAATATAACATAAAATATTAATAATTATAAAATTTTCTTATTTTATGTTGAAAGGAAAATTTATGTAAGTTATTAGTAACTGGCTTATAAAGTAACCGATAAAATAACTCAACGGCCATTTTTCCGACTTTTATTAAAGTTATTATGATTAGCATTATGTTGAATGACAGAAAATAATTATTTCAAACAAACAAACAGTATAAAAATAAACTTTTTTTTTAAGTGATTAAAAAAACAAAATGTATGACGAAACGTTTTAATAACAGTAAAAAGTTGAAAATACAATTGAATACATGTTTTCTCAAACGTCAGTCAATATTAATTACAAGAGTAAAAGTTTATAGTTTTATTCGACTACTAGCGACACCCTCGCTCCGCTCGGGTTCGTCCCTACTTACGTTTTAACGTTTAGTATAGATTTATCAGTAATGAGATATTTTCCCGCGGTAAAAAGTATCCTATATGTTGGCCCGGATAGCCAGCTATCATCATACCAAATTCCATCAAAATCCCTCCAGTGGTCTTTCCGTGATGCGGTAACAGACAGACAGACCGACAAAAATTCTAAAAACTAAATTCGGCCTCTATATCGATAATAATGTCTATTTCAATAAGATTTTCCAAAAAATATTTCATTTACAGATTCGGCTTAGTTACAATTTTATTATATTTATAGATTTTTTACAACATTTAAAACTGTCATCTAAAATAATTTGCATAATATTTTATACATATTTACTTACAACATGAGCGAGACTGTTGAAAGACATGGGATGTTAGCGAAAGTATAATGTAGCAATTGACGAAGTCAACGTGACATATTAACGTGACATGTGGAAATATTTAAAACCAAATCCATGCTACGGATTGAGACAGAGTGTGTTTAGTGGAAAAAATATAAATGGAGATATAAATAAAAAATATTTACATTTCGTTAGAATCTAATGTACCTATTGCTACATTCAAAACGTGTTGTTGTTGTTACTTCACGCTGAATGAACGGATTTGGATGACATTTACGAGTAGCACATAGATACATACACTATGATTCTAGAGTAACAAATAGGCTATGGTTTGTAATAAAATCAGCCAAAAGATTTCTTTTAGTAGTGTTTTTTTCATGCTTTATAATATTACTAGCTAGTACTAGATACGTTTTAACGGTTAGTATGGAATAGATAGTCGATCCCTTGCTTTGTGAAAAACAAAACAAATCTTACCCATGGAAACCGTATATTTTTCCGGGATAAAAATAACCTTTATGCTATTTCATAGTATAATATCTCTCTCCAAATTTCATCAAGATCCGTTCAGCCGTTCTGGCGTAATTGAGTAACAAACATCCATCTAAACTTTCGCATTTATAAATAGTATGAATAAGATTTTTAGGTAATAACACATTCGTGTTTTCTAAGTCCCACCATAACCTACTTTAAAGCAATAAAGTGGATTTAAACACGAGAATAACTGCTAACACGTATGAGCTCTACCGTAAATTAAATTTTTATTCTTGTTTAAAAGACTTTTCGTGGTTTTATGATCATATTATTTTTATACACTTAGTCAACAATAAAGAGTTAAAACATGTTTTTGTTTGTTTATACGGAATTATTTATAGATGCAGCCGGAACCAAGAAATTTTCTGTATTTAAATATAATATTTTATATTTTCTCTGAATATATTTGCCAACTATTTTGAGAGCGTTTCATTGCAAAATACTTTTTGTATTATAATTTATACTCTATCTAGATTACAGAGGTACCACGATAACGTTATCTCTCTATATAAAATAAATATAAAGTTAACATGTCTATCTGTTCACACACGCATCAAAGGGTTTAAATCTGATCTAATAAAAATATTAAATTTTATCTCTATCGGTCAAACATTTAAAAAGATATAGCTTGAGCTCTCTTAACTACGCACGTCTATACAAAATAGAGGTCATGTTTACTGGTAGGTAGTTAAATTTTACTCACGAGTAAAACCGCAAAAAGCCACTCGTACAATATAAAACAAAGACAAACAATTGAGGGCATTTTTACAACGATAATAATTTTTATAATTATCTCGGATGCTGTAAGATCAAATCTCATCCCGTGATTCAACAAAAGTACAAGTACCAGGGCGCCATAAGATATGAAGATACCTCGAAAGTTCCAGAACAAGCGTTATCGCTGCGTGGGCCCGTATGATTTGTTTATTTTGACTAGGCGCCAACACGCTAGAATGTGTTAAATAATTCCATATGACTGGAGGCCTTGACACAGGAAAAGTACAGTAATTAGTATCTATTCTTGTGATGATTTACAAGTTATTCATTAGGGAAAATTGTAAAGTGGGCTCGTTGGCAAAGTTAATTGATAAGTTGATTCAGTAAACACGAAATAGCACAAAACAATTATTGCTCATCCATTACCAGAATCTACTATTTAGACGAATAATAGGGAAATATACTAGCGGCTCACCCTTGCTTCACTCGGGTTTGCCTCTAGGAAAACAAAAACAAACCTACCCCACGGGAACCGTACATTTTCCGGGAAAAAAAGTAGCCTATGTGTTATTCCAGACTATAATCTATCTCTGTGCCAAATTTCATCCAAATCCGTTGAGTCGTTCTGGCGTGATTGAGTAACAGTAACATCCATACTCACAAACATTCACATTTATAATATTAGTATAGATTATGCAATTATCAGTCTGTGAAAAAAAAACTTTTATGAGTTTTTATCTTAGGGTATTTTTAATGATATAGATTCATAATATTTAAGTAATTGAAATACATAATATAAATTTATTTATTTATCATTGGGTACACAAAGCGTATAATTAATAAATACATATAGCTAAACACTTTTCATCATAAATATTATGCTCGCCACTAAAAATATAATGAAAGTGAACTTAAAATGAGTAGCCAAAAAATCAAACAAAAAGAAAGAATACTAAACATTAACACAAATCATGTTTTCTTGATAGGCGAGAAAAATTTTTAAACCCTTCATTTAACAAATTGATGTTATGATACTGCTTATTATTATTATACATATATATTGCAAGATTTTTTTGGAGACAGCGATGACTAGGGCATATAAATTATATTTTCTTTAGTAGGTATGGAGAGTCAAATAAATATTATTAATTATTTTGTAATTTATGTGTACTTTACCCTATTCCCGAACATAATTGTGTAAGCTTTAAGCATTCACTGTTCAAGGCCGTCTTTAAGTTCATAAAGCCATTCTCTACTCACCCCCCACTAACGCAATTATTTCATAACTCTTCCTATATTGTTTAAGACTTAAAGAACTTAACTAAACAAAAACTAATTTTAAGTTCATTTCGTTTATGTTTTTAGTGGAAACTTTATTGGCTTAAGATTTTAGTTTAGAAGTGTTTAACTAAATTTTGTGTTTAATTAAAAAGTAAATAGAAATACATGCAAAGTTTCAAGTCAATATGACAATTAGAAGTAGGTTAAACCTCCTTTTTGAAGATAAACAAATGCAGTACTGCGGATATGCCTGCGTAAGCATTCTTTTAAGTCGTAGCCTCTTTACATGATTCCTGTTTTATTTAGAGAGCTCAAACTGTTTCTTTGGATCTGTCTGATAAATTAAAAAATAAAGTCTTTCTATCTCTTCAATTCAGACTTAATAGAAATTATATGCAAAATAAAATACATTTGTTGAAACCTGGAGCTATTCTCGTTTGATGTGCAATGAAAAAGACACATCACTGTAGACTTTCGTCAAAAATATGAAACATTGACTCTTCAACTCTCTATAAGCACGATTTATATTCAAAAGATTATTTTGAACTTAATATTTAATACTCTTACAATTTGACCGCAATACTTAATTATTGTCGCGTAATGGAGAGTGTGTAACGTTAGTACACAAAAATAATAATTTAAAAGGCAGATCTGAAGCATGCTGTATATCTAGACACTGTTACAGTTGTCAACAGTTAATAGACATGAACGAATTAATTGTAAATTTCCGTGTGTAAGAATGGAACAAAAAATTTTCCAGAAAGAAATAGTAATTACTAGAAAAGTTTCGAATTTTCGAACACTAGAATGTTCTTTCTTTATACATATAAAAAGAAATCGGTTGAATTTCGGAGTCAAGTGAAGACTGATAAGAAGTACGTAAAAGTAAAAAAGTAAAGAGAAGTGGAGAGAAGCCATAGTGAAAGGGTGGGTGAGTGGTGAAAATTAGTGTTTAGTGACTGAATTTAGTCAGAGCATATGTTGTGCATATATTGTGCGTGTTGGTGAATCTCCATAAGTCACTCGTATTAACCAAAAGCAATAAAACATCCGTAGTGCAAAAGTCCCCCGAGGCCCGAAGGAACTCATAGAAAATAACATTATTATAGCAATAAAAGATTAGCATAATAGTATAGGTACGTATAATATTTCAAAATAAATATGCTGGGACATTAACACACAGCACCATTTAGTTCCATGGTAAGCTACGAGGCTTGTGTTATGGATACCAGATAGTCAATACACTACACATATATAACTTTAAATACATACATACATATTATAAATATAAACACCCATGACTGGAGTACAAATATTCGTGCTCATCACACACATGAATGCCCCCGGCGGGACTCGAACCCGCGACCGCTAGCACAGCAAGTAGGGTCACTACAAACTGAACCAAACGTGTCGTCAAATTATTAATTATTAATTTAGTAACTTATAAATTAAATAATCTAAAATTTTATAAAATATATTTTATTTTCAAGCAAAAAGCTGAAAAAAGTATGACATAGCAAGAAATTATACTTAAAGACGATTACTAAATAAATATCGCATTCAAGGAGTCGATGGGACGGAACCAATGTAACACTTATTATCTGTTATTGGGTTTCTGTTACGAATTCACCGCTTCGTCGAACTGTTAACTAGAATAACTAGTCTTACAGGAACTTGATGTTGATAGTTAGACGGTTTCTAGTTTGCAGGTAATCTCTGAAGTAATATTGCCAAATAGGATGTATCCCTTTCATTATATACGTAATATATGTATTTATTCTTCTTCGTTGGTTTTTGAACATTCATCTTTCCTAATCTAAGCTTACATTAAAGATGCCTAAGCGTGTTTGTTTGTTTGTTTGTTTGTTTGTTTGTTTGTTTGTTTGTTTGTTTGTTTGTTTGTTTGTTTGTTTGTTTGTACTATTTTTCAAGTAAAAGTCAAGGTTAAGAAAAGATAAAGTGACTTTTGACATTAAAATAGCATTTGTGCTAGAGAGTATTTTGTAACCCGATACCTATGTTAAATGAATCCTGCGTGATCTTAATCTATTATAAAATGTTTCTTAGGAATGACGCGAAGTTTTTGAACTGGGATAAGTATATAATTGAATAGCTCTATTTTATTTTAATTAAACTCCAAATTGATAAATTAGTTTCGAATAAAATCTAGGACTTATAAAATGTCTACCGATATTTGAATGCTCTTGTTAAAATTAAAAAAAAAACATTATGCATTGATTATAATTCATTTTATATATTTTTTTATTTATTTTAACTACGTTTACTACGTACGTTTTAACGTTTAGTATCGATTTCTCAGAGATGAGATATTTTCCCGCAGTAAAAAGTATCCTATACGTTGACCCTGATAACCAGCTATCATCGTACCAAATTTCATTAAAATCCCTCCAGTAGTTTTTCCGTGATGCGGTAACAGACAGACAGATATAAACTCTAAAATGTATAGATTCGGCCTCTGTATCGATAATAATGTCTATTTCAATAAGATTTTCCAAAAATATTTAATGTACAGATTCGGCTCAGTTAGAATTTTATTATATTATGTGTAGATATCAAACAAATTAAAATACACAAAACTCTACCGTCCAACATTTTTGTCAATCATCTCACACAATAGACTGATATAACCAGTTAATGAAACAAAAAAAACCTATCAATCAATAGTGTTATATAAGTAACCTAACAATAAGTAACAATTACCATCGATTATGCAGTCTTAGTATCTATTACTACATTACTAGGCGCAACATAATTGCGAAATAAAACACAAAGGGGATGATGATAATCAAGTTTGGAAGGGCAAAGTTTAAGTTTTATTTACAAGTATTGCGTTGTGCCCCCACTTCATGCTAACAGTAGGCATATCGACACCGACAAGGCAGTCTTTACCACCTCGAGCTGCCTGCTCGGGGCCTACAAACCTAGGTCACCTAAAATCGAAACAAAAACATGCTGTTCAAATTATTTATAGTGTCTGTGTTATATTCAGCGTCAACCGCTGAATATTATAAAACGAAGCGTAAGTATTTTTCTAGTGTTTAATTTAATTTTTCTTTAAATTCGCATATTATAATTTAAAAATTAATTTGACTATATCACTATATTAAAATTTGATTTATATAAAACAAGCTATTACTGAGATAGGTCTTCGCCAGAAATATGTAACACACTTAACATTTCTTTAAAAACGTAATTGCTGGTAATTGTAGTGAGTAATTAAATTAAAAATTGTGTTTAAATTTATTTAAGCTACTTAATAACAGTATAAAAAAATCTTATATTCAAAAAGGCAGTCAATTAAAACAAACTATCAAATATAGAGATACCGGTCCATATTAGCCGATTTAATTACTTAAAAGCCTTAGATTTAGAGGTTAATCTTACGATAATTATTTTAATTATCTGTTCTCTATTTACAGCCAGTTTTATCCAGACTTGTTTGATAAGTGAGCCCGATTTCGATGATTGTTCTACAGAAGCCGTACAGAAGTTATTTAAAGCCTTGGGTCCAGGTATAGAGATAATTTTGTTCTTATACTAAAAGGTTTATTTTGCTTTCATACCCCTAGAGTCGAGTTTGGATGCTATAAGCCTAGATAATAGAAGCTATTAGAAACTACTTACATTTACAGGGCATTACTTTTTTAACCGTAATATAGATAGTCGGTTAAAAGTTTTACAGAACTCTGGTAATACTTTCTTAGATTTACGCGAATATTTGACATTTTAAATAAAACTATCTTTTCGGATTATGTCGCGGATTTATTTTGATTGTAGATATTGCTGGAAAATTCAAAATAATGTATGATGCAAAAGCATTTTTTTGATTTGCTCTATCGTAACGATAATGCCTATGTATATACGAGGGATAAACTTAATGTTATGCTGTGCTAACTTTAAAATAAAACAACAATAACAAAAACTGTACAAGTTTCAATTTTGTATAGGATTATGACAACATTTTTCTAATATGTCCTATTTCATCGATACATCGTGAATAGGTATGTGATACAGAACCCTTGTCGTTTGTTAGACTCACACTTTGCATATAGACTGAATATTATAAAGAGGTAAAGTTTGTGAGTTTGTGATGTTGTAGGGGGTTATTTCTGGATCTACTGAACCGATTAAGATAAAATTTCGTAAGAAGATAGTTTGAGACTTTGGGAAGGATATAGAATATTTTTTATCCCGGAAATCATCCCTCAAGTGAAAATAAGGTTGAAAGTTTATATAAAGAATCAACCTAGGGGCGCTAAGTCCCTAGTAAATAAAAATCGCTAGTCGCTAGTAAGTAAATAAAGCTAAGAGAGTAATGTCAGGATAATAGTGTAGTATAGTATTTTTACTACACATCATTTCTAATGATGGTATTACGGATAAGTAGGTAATATGCGGTTCTAGGCTAGCAAGCTGCGTAAGCCACCGTTGGCGTGTGTACTATTGCACAACGAAATGCAGCTTGCACTTACTACTTGTGCTGAATACCTACTTAGTATTCATAGTACGTTGAATAATTTTAATGAATTGTTGCATTTTTGTACTTAATAGAATCTTTTAACATCTAACCTTATGTTTTTTGTGAATAAGTAATGACAAATATAATATTTATATATAAAATAAACAACAAATTGATAAATATAAATTAATAATAAAGATAAAGTAAGATAGCATTCTAAGATACTTATAATAACTTTGTTATAGGGAAACTAATGTTATAAGAATGCTAGGAATAGTATCTAAGTTCATAAACCACCAAGCTGCTCATAGCCTCAATTACGAAACACGTATAGTGGGACATAAGCAGAAAGCGAAAGTGCTATTTCTTCATCTTGTTTGCTTGACGATGATATTTTTCATTGCAACACAAATTAAAAAAATCCGATTTCAGGGCTCCCAGAGATAAATTTGTCACCAATAGATCCTTTAAAAATACCGAAAATAAGAATATTGCAGGGCGAAGGACCTGTAAATGTGAACGCTGCTCTCGACAACGTCGTGGTAACGGGTTTTGGCCAAACTGACGTATTACAGAGCCAGTAAGTAACAATAAAACATAAATGATTGTCAATATAACATGTTCTTTGCCTGTAATATGCATAGCTGTTTTCACAAGTAATACATCGATGTCTATGTATATAAATTCTTTAATTTGATACTAAAAACCAATGTAGAAAAAAATTAGGTTGATTTCAAAATATTATGGAAATTTAACACTCCTTCTTCTTATTTTTCAGGGTGCATAGTAAATCGTATGATTTTTATACTAGAGTCCGTGTCCCAAAGATGAGAATAGAGGGCACGTATGACTTAAAAGGGAAAATATTATTGATACCTTTAGTTGGCAGTGGTTTATGCTGGTTCGAACCAAGTAAGTAACGTTTTAAGTTTTTAAATTTGAATTACAAGACATAAAAGCTAACTGATATTAACAATAAATCGCCTTTCAGGTAATATGACAATAGATATTGTAAGCGACGTAAAGTTATATGAAAAAGATAATTTACCATTCTTCAATGTTACTAAAGTTCATGTAAAATATAATATTGGTGGGCTAAAATTACACATGAGTAATTTATTCGATGGTATTTCGTCACTTGGTAAGTATATGCTTCACCTCCATCTACCTTTACTATAAAACATTAAAGATTACTCCTAAATGCGCTATTCGATAATAGATGGCGCTACTATATAGCTTCTATGATACCTCTTCATAATGTCTAATCTCCTAGTACATTCATGTTACAAATTGCAACGTTGAAACATCGTGAGACGCTGTTGTAGCTGACCTTGGACGTCAGTTGTTGCCAATTCGCTTCAATTATCAAAACAAAACATTTTTATATATGTGTTTTCATTTTCATTTACATTGAGATTTTTCACGCAAGATATTCTATTATTAATAATTAATTATATATTACAAAAATAAATAGAATAAATAAAATATTGTAAAGAATAAATAAAATATTAATATTCAAAATTCCTTCTTAATTAATTTTATTCATTTTATTTTCAGAGGACAGCACAAACGCTTATTTGAATGTAAATTGGCGGCCAGTATCCGAGTCTTTGAGACCGATTTTATCAAAGACTATTGAAGATATCTTACTGGACTTCATGCAACAAATATTCCATAATTTACCAGCAAACTTCATGATCGGAGATATTAAAACTCACATGAATAAAAATATTCGATAAGAAAGTCAATGATTAATTATTACATTTAAGAAACTTATTTATAAATAGACTGTTAGTTATTATTATTTTAGAATAAAAAGTTTGGGAGTTTTGCTGATGGACTGGATTATAAATACTTTTTATGTAGAGTTGTTTGTTACATTATAATAATAAAAAAATAAATTAAAAAATTGATAAAAGATCCGGGACTTGATTTATCTATTTTAGTAGCTTAATGGTTCTCACATGATTTATACTTTTTTATGTATCTTTGTATAGTAGTAGTTTATATTAATTTAAAATTTATTTGTAACTTTTTAATCTATGACATATTTACTAATGAAATAATTGTACATATAATATATCAAATATAGAAATATAATATATACGAATACATATATGTATAATCGCTAACCACTCATAAGGGCCCTAGGAAAATTGAAGTGCCTAAACACGAAATATTTAACCAAAATGAAATTAATTAAAGGGGTTGGTAATCTGCAGACTATCCTGGTAGAAGAAATGTGATAATAAGATAAATAAATAAATAAATATCTTTTTTCATAAATATCTACTTTATTTTTTTACAATATCCATTATAAATACAACACGAATAATGGTTTGATTTATCAGTTAATAATTTATGGTTTAAAAATATATAGGCAAATCTTTTTTCTTTCACCTGTTATTTTCAGGTAGATACACCAAGGTCAGGCGGACTAGTGAGCGTAATATTTATGTAGACAAAATAAAATAAAGGGAAAAATATATTAAAATTTGATTTACCTGCCAAATAGGTCGTCCAGGCATTTTGATAATAAAGGATTTTCAAAACACTGCACAATTTCACTAACCACTCGCAAGTTTGGCACGCCTGTCACTAGATGGCTCTCTCGCTAATGTTGGGAACAAAATAAGCGCTACTGAGTCATCTTACGTGTTTTATACGAGGCAAGGCGCTATCGGTGTAAATACCAGTGAGAACGGACACTACGCAGAAACGAGTAAACGATGGCCGAAAATATCTCTCTACTCAGCCACAATCGATTAGTTAGGTACTTCGGGATGAAAATAAGTATTCTACCATAAATTTCCTAAATAATTTAAGACAATCATATTTTAATTACACATTTCTTACAATAGAGACAATATAGTCAAACATCTCTAATGTAACTATCTATAACAGAATATAAGTAATAGTTTGGTAAATTAATATATGCGCGTGATTGAACCCATTCTTAAGAGAGTAAGTTAAATTTATTTTTGTGTTGACCTTTTGTCAACCGCATTACTAAAAAGTCAGGAATTCAGTCCATTGAAGGCGGAAAAAGTTTTGTAACATTCCATATGACATGGTTGGACAATGGACAGTAATAACATCAATTTAGTGTAATATATGCTGCAGGATTACTATTAGGATTATTATTGAGACTTTCAATCATACGATTTCGCGGACGCGAACTTTTGTCAACCAGACCTAAAAATTAAACGTTCAGTTCATGTTTCTTTGTTTTAGAACTACGTATTCTATAATTAATATCTTTAATATTAACATATCTTTTTAATGTACATAGTTTAAAACCGCTCTCTCGGCTTGCTGATCCGTTTTTCGGAGAAGACTTATCACGGTAGATCTGCATATTATTGTGCCATAATGTCTAAAGAAGTTATTTCTTTTTTTTCAGAGACTTGAAGTTACTTTACATTTTTTAACCTTTTTATTCATAATAATATTAAAATTGTCGAAATTAAGTTCTTTGTTTGACGAAAAGTTTTGAACTATAATTTTCATGTACTTAGAAACGTTATTGACGGTATATGACGTATATGACGGTAAAAAGTTAGTCAGTGCATTTAAGATGGAATAGTCTATATTATAATACCCCTTTTAAGACGATAATAAATCACCTTAACACATATAGAGGTCAAGCATTGGCAGCATTAGTAAATACAGTTGGCAGAAAACTGCTTAAGACACTGCTTAAGGCACTGCTTAAGAGCATGGCCCTGGTTGTTGTGGTCTGCTTCGGTAGGCCAACCGTCGGAGCGTCGTGGTAGAGTGCGTAAGTGATTTTGCGGTATCTCATCTTCACGGTTGGTTCCGTTTTGATTTCATGGATAGTATTGGATGTCTAGTCGGTGAGTCTACACTTAAGCTGTATGTATGCAAGTGATAGGCGTAAATGCATTTCCCAACCTTAAAAAAACCAGTGAAATAGTGCGATGAGTAGACTTTTGGAAGGGCGGGCGGATACATAATATTATGCTGGCTGGGTACTTCTACTTTACTTTAATACTTTTGCTACTAATGCATTACTCATCTAGTGAAAAGCGAGACATTGTCTGTCAAAGTTCCAATATTAAGGTCATTGAAAAAATATGTTGTCTGGTGGAACTAAGGAACAAATAAAGGCTTTAATTTCTCCATAATATGTTGTTGTCTTATTCCATGAGTATTATTTTATATTTCGAATATATTATAAATAATTTAGGCGCTAAATTAGTTTGAGGCTCACACTTCCACAACGATGATGCACTTTGGAAAACGAAACAGAAAAAAAAACAGACACAAAGAACTGCAACTCAACATTACATTCCTCTACTTTCATCATTCTATTTTCTAAAAGTTAATGTTGTTAGGTAATAAGTTTTTGACAGTCATGCAACCTCCGCGTAAAGTTTACCTGAGAACTTTATCATATTTTTTGTTATATTTGTACTATGATTGAAGTAATTTATTGAATAATTTTATATGATTATAGGTATTTATGTATATTAGGTATATTGGTTCATCGTAAAACTTTCAATAATTAACGCTCTAAATTAAATGCTATATTACTGGAACCGCCAGTATGCTATAATATATTTATAGCTGACACGTTTGAAGATTCTGTATAACTGGAACGAGGTTGAATATTTTTCGTGCTTTTAACCAACATCATTACATCTTGTTATATGGACTGGGCTAAGCTCAATATTAAATGGAAATAAAAATACTTTAAAAGTGCTTATAATTTATGCTATTCAAATTTTAAAGTATATTCTATTTGTCACGATGCACTTGACCTGAAAATATTATAGAGTTCTACACCTTGTAACCTCTGGCAAAGTTTATATGTAATTTAGCGGTGAACAATTTATATTTATAGGTTAATTATGTATATTTTGATCTGAAATAATTTATTAATTATAGCATATTGTATGTTATGTATATAAAAAAAGTCTTCTATGAACAAAGACAATATTACACACTTGGGGTCTCTTCCATGATGTATTTATGATTTACTTAAGCATACTAAATAAGTAGCACGCGTCAAACATTATAATTTGACGTTACCTAAACATATTTAAGGCACTTAAGTCAGATTAAGAATTTCGGGCATGTAATTTTCTAGAATTTAGAAGAAATTTTAGTATAAGAAACAATTATTGGTTCACAATAGCATATTGCAAGGTGAGCTATATTTAAGTAGATGTCTAAGAACAAAATATGAGTTGCAGAAAATATGCAGAACTGCATAAATTACTCTTTCGCTTTCTGTACTCCTTGTCCTTCGAGTTCCTGGTAAGACCAGCCTTACGAGCTTGTCACATAACAAACAAGACGTAATATTATTTCATCATGTTCATATTTTTGAGATCACTACGTACTTTGTTATTCTTTTCCAAGCGGTTATGGCGGCAAGACAGGTTGTTTGGTTATTTTTAAATGTAATTTTGTGCTGAAATACTTTGTGTATGTGTAATACGCAATATTATGTTACACACATAAAATGAGATATGTATAAATGTTATAAAAAGTATAATAATATAAACGTAATAAAAAGTACTTCTTAAATTTAGTTATTTTCTTTTCTTTATTACCTGCTGTAATATGATATAAATAAGAAGAATAAATAAGCTCAACAATAAAAATTAAACCACAATAAATATTACAAAAGTAAAAAAAAACAGTAAAACTGCTTTTATCATTACCAAAAAATCTATGAATGTAGAAATTATTACATAATAATAAATATGCGTATTCAACAAATACTCATTATAAATATTAAAGCTACACATGGAGTGTAAAAAGGCAAAATGCACTTGAAGGTCGCGAGGTCAGTGACCAGATGACGAGCGATGACCCAGAGAAGGGTGCTCTCGAAGGGGATAGGGCCCCTTTGGTGTCGCTCACAAAAGGAACGATCACTAGGGCAGCATGAAAGCGAGGAGATTAAGGTGCATACATGCACTTTGCACCGAATGCGTGTGACGTCAACCAGTTAGTATTGCATTGTTCGCTGTTGCACATTTCAAGTTAGTGAATGTCATTCATTTATTTACGCGCACGCAACAAACAGCACGTGCTAATTTCTTATCTATTATCCTATAGCTAAAATCTATTTTATGTTTTGTTTATTTATGTTTAATGTTTATGCATAATATAATATACATATTAGATGTTAATCTTTTTTCTTTATTTTTTAAATAATTTCAAATTCGACATTTCGTTTTTTCATAATTTGTTGAAATAGTACTACCTTACCTTACCATCCCGCTGCTTTGCATATCTTTTTTTTATATATAGGTACATACATATTCTCTTCTTTATGTATTTCTTGCGTGGTGTGCAATAAAGAGTACATTAATATTATTACCTTAGAAACCGTTGTTTCTAAGGTAAACGATAAGTGTTATGTTCATTGGAGTTGATAATAAATTTTTATGATTATTTTGTTTAGAAAACGTATTAAAATATTTTAGTAGCAAATACGCCCTGAATTAAAAATTGGCGAAAAACCACGGTTATAAAAACTAAAAAGTTTCTTTTATATTTTATTATTTACTAGCATTGCTAGCGGCTCCGTCCGCGTTCAGATGACCAAAAACCAAATTCTTATTTTACATATTAGTATAGTCTTACAATGCAGTTTTTGTATTTTTTCTCAGAAAAATGAGATATTTTCTCGCGGTAAAAAGTATCCAATATGTTGACCAGCTATCACCATACCAAATTTCATCAAAATTCCTCCTGTGGTTTTTCTGTAATGCGGGAACAGATAGACAGACAGACAGACAAAAATTCTAAAAACTATAGATTCGGCCTCTGTATCGATAATAATGTTTATTTCAATAAGATTTTCCAATAAATATTTAATGTACAGATTCGGCTTGGTTACAATTTTATTATATGTACATATATAGATATAATTGTTTTTTTTTTAGTCAAAAAGTCGAATAAATATTATTTGCATGTGATTATTACATAAAATATTATATTTCTTTTATACACAAACTTTTCATCTTCTCTGTGTATACTCCTGGAAATGGTATAAAGCGAATGGAAGCGTTGTGTAATAGTTATTTACAATATGTATTGAACCCTCTTTAACGTTCCACAGCTGGTCACGGGATGTTTGCGGACTTCACATGTCTTTTTAGAACTTGCTAGGTTCTCTCAGAAATGCAGGTTTCCTCACGGTGTTTTGCTTCACCGTTGTACAAGTGGTAATCTTGTTCGAAATGATTCGCACATGAAAATATCAGAGGTGCGAGGCCTGGGATTTAATCCCACTTCACTGGGTTTCCCAAGCAAGTGCGTTACCACTGGGCTGCCAATGCCTTCTCTATTTTCAATATAATAATATTAATTAAAATATAAAAAATATATATATATGTATAATATATATATATATATATATATATATATATATATATATATATGTATAAATTACATTAAAACACAAAAAATTAATGACAAACTGTTTCTTGCAAAGAAAAATGGCATCACACATAGAAATTCGTAACTAGCTAGAATAGCATCTATTTGTAACGATCGTTTAACGGCGTTATTTTTGTATGTCGTCACCCACGCGTATTCTTAAATTAGAGTAACGAATCGTGAGCGAAAAACACCTGCAAAGCCATTGGCAACTGCGAGTTTCAAATGAATCATTGGAAGTTTTTGGTCTACCTATTCGATATAATATGTCTTTCTCGAATGTTCCTTAGTCATGAAACTTAAATAGGTCGTGCTTGGTTCAAGGCAGTGGTTACAGGAATAGCCTATGAGTGAGACGTTTGAAGTAGACTGCCAATACCTTGTCGTATGTTTACCCTATTACACACGCGTCAATTTATGTTGGTTTGGAAATATGGAAAATAACATCTTCATACAAATAGAACCACAAAAGATTAAAATATTTCAATATTAATGAAATAATTTGTTATTTATTAATCAAAGCTTTAGTTTTAAGAATAAATTATTTTAAAGTTTGCTTAATAAAATTCATTATATTATAGAAGTAACCATTCAAAAATTAATAATAATAATAATAATAACTAAAAAGAACTAAAATTTTTTTTAATAAATAATAAAATAAATAAAATGTACATCAATCAAAGTACAAGTTACGAAATAGCACTTTTATCGCTCAGCGAACAAGAAAAACAGGTATGAAATAAATGGCACCTCACGAATGTCTGCGGAACGCTAGGAACGTGGGCCGTCCGCTGGTGGAGAATCTGGAGCAGGCAGTTACAATCGCTATGTACTAGGGCAGCACAGTACAGTAAGAGGCTATTGATGTGTTTAATTGTAAGCGCCATCTAGTGGTGAGTAGACAAAATCGTAGCGATAAAGTTCCAATTTTAAGGAAATAGTTCACACAGGATGTCACTACTATCATTTGTTTTATTGAATTCTGTAACAATACAATACTTACTAATAAATAATCTAAAATTTCATTTTTATTTTGTCCCAATTATTAAGCTACATTTTTCCAATAAAACGGATGGAGTCATCAAAGGAAATGATTCGATATAAATTTTAAAATTCTAAGTTTGTGGATAGAATGTACATTTATGTATTTGGGCTTATGATAGATTTTATGTATACTTCAGTAATTATTAAAATATTTGATAGATAAAATGATACCAACGAAGGATAGTCGGTCATCACTCTATTTAAACTACAAAAACCATGTACGGTGGCATTTTCCAATGATAATTCATCAAACCTCACGTTATGCTTATTGAAATGCTTATTGAAAATATATCAAGTGTTGCCATAGTAAACTGGGCTAATATAATATTATTATAAAAGGATATTTTCGTAAGAAAAAACTATAACAGTCTATGACGTTTATTTATGGTTCACATTATAATTTACCACTGAATTAATTTATGTACATAAATCAATTAATTTATAAAAATCTTATAACTATGAGATAATATATGCAAGAGACAAAGGTATCCTCAAAATGATGTATTAATTTTAATATTACTGCTAAAAAAACGATCTTTATTTTTCACTAAGTCAATTTTAATTATTAGAAATAAATAAGAATTAAAATATTTAATCTTTAATATTATGTCCATGTTAAGTAAGATCTATGTTGATTATTATTATTAGAAAATTAGATTAAAATAAAATTACATACAGAGTTTAGAAAATAAATAAATTTATCGAATATCCGTATCCTCATTTACTTAACTAAGCATTGAGAAAAAATAGTATTAATTATTTCAGGTAGCTTAAATATTGGCTACAACAAATATTAACATTTATTACATACTAGCGACTCACCCTCGCTTCGCTCGGGTTCGTCCCTAGGTTGATTTCCCATATAAATTTTCATCCCCATTTTCACCCCCTTAATGGATGATTTCCGGGAAGAAAAATCCTACATCCTTTCCAAGGTCTCGAACTATCTTCTTACCAAATTTCATCGAAATCGGTTCACTAGATCCAGAGATTACCCCCTACAACTTGACAAACTCACAAACTTTACCTCTTTATAATATTATTAGTATTAGTATAGATTATAATGTATCTAACAACATGTTCATATTATTTTTAAATTAGCATATATACATATATAGCTTGCAAGATATCGAGGTACTTAAAAAACCATGATAATAATAAAACATGTATACACGTTGGAATAAGTTGGCTGTTGTTGTTTGTTTAAAACTATTTCTTTTAATTGGTGGTGAGTCCTGGTCATATTCATAATTATTAGGTCACTATTTTGGAATTATCAAAGAGTGAGGTCAGAATATTACTGTCGATAATATTATAATGCACTAAGTCAAAGTACATTGTTTTGATGTAGAGTAGATGTAGACTTCACAAAAACATGTCGAAAAAGAAACGACCAATAAAATTTCCCAGTGTATAATAATAAACTACTTTCCTTATTTAATACTTTGGTATAGAGCCTAAGTATTTTAATAAAAATAATTATAGTTGAAATTTCTACTGTATATTATATCTATAAATGAAAAAAAATTATATACATACATTCACTTACGAATACTTTATAAATACTGTCTAACTACATATTTAATACGAAGCTTATTGCTTTCAACACGTATTTTTTATATTTACATTACTCAGATTGTTCTAAAACATCACTACAAGTGTGAAAGGTTATGGAAGTGAAGAAATTTTAAAATTAAATGTTTTTTAAGCTTTATATTATATAAAGTACCTAAAATATAACGTAAATATTAGAGTCATGAAAAATTATTGCAATACAGTTTCAAAATAAATACAGAATATATAACTCGAAAGCTGTAGTAAATTGTACTGTATCCTAAATTAAATGTTAATTATATTAAATATATAATAATAAAGACCTTATAAATACTCATATTGACTATATTATAATTATGTACAATGTATTCATAATACTGTTCGATAGTAACGTAGCTAGAACTAATAAAGTTATTTTATTTAAAATTAAAAATTACACCAAATCGTCGTAATTTTCGTTGAAGGTTTGATCCATAGGGTCACTATCGAATGGAGTTGTTTCCTTCTGGCACGTGGACTCCTTTTGTGATAGTAATCGATCGCAAGCGTTAAGCCGTCCGTGCAAAACCTCATACACGCGAGTCATAGACGCTACTTTTTCTTTACTCGACGGATCGGTTTCTATAGCAAACAGCCGTGAGTCAAGTAATTTTATCGCGGCCACAATATAATTTCGCAGTGTTTTTGTTTTGTGTTCATTGCTTATTCTTTCTAAGAAAGCGCACACTTGTCTTTCTCCACATAGCAACACATCTACATCGTAAGCGAGAGGTGAATGTTGACGATGGAGATAAGCGATCAAACGCTTAGCGTACCGCCGATATGTGCGATACGCTTTCCTCTTACGCGTTCCGAGTGTTCTTCCCATTGCCATTGACTTCTTCATGTCATCAATCACAGCTTTGTAACCAGCGTCGATTTTAGAGTCAAATATATCTCGTAAGCGTGTTTCTACAGGCTGTAATTCGTAAGGTGCAGGAGATGGTGGTAATGATGGGGATGAAGGCGGAGGTGATGGTGGCAAGGAGTTACGGGGGTTTTCTTCTTCACTTGACTCACTTGAAACTCGGCTTTCGACAGGACTTGCTTCTGGTACTGAATATGGACGTGGTCGAGCCCGAGATCTTTGCACTCGAGTGGGACGCGGGGCAGTTCTTGCGTTGTACGCTGTAAGCACATTTGCGTCTTGCTCTGTCAGAGGCCGAGCACGTTGTGTGGCTGCCAGTGGTATAATCCTTATTTTCACAAGAGCATAACTTTGATGAATTTTCGCCCGAATACGTGGATCATCGTAATCTGCACCCCAAAGATCTCGAATAGCTGACTCCTTCAAAAATCGGACTTGGCATAATTCGCCATTGAAAAATCTCTTTCTTTGCTGTTCATTTAGAGCATCTCTTTCTGCCCCAGTTAAGCCATGAATCTTGGTCAAATGATCTGGAAGTTTCCCATATGTAAAGCGAGCGCAGTCTTCAATGGGGCATGGTATGTTTGCGTGATTTTGCTTCTTCGTGCGAGTGCCGGCTGTAGCTGGCCGTGCACTCATTTTTGGACACCAAACTGTAACAATAATATGACATATGTACACTTATTTATTAAAATATTGTTAAATATAAAGTAGTCGATTCTTTAAATAAAGATAAACAATTAAACCATTTTTACATATCTACAATCGAACTGAAATGAAGGCCAGTTAATTTATTTAGAGTATGTTTATCAACAAGGGTGGCTGTCCGAGTATAATAATTGTGTTGACGGAGGCCGGCGGCTGTTTGGGGAGTACCTTGTCCGCTTAATTTATTGACAACAATGCCTCCTTCGAGGGATATGTCTCAGTTTGCTCTTAGTATAAATTACTTTATGTGTATGATCTTTAGCACAGCACTATTATTTGTTTTCGTACATTAGTTTGTTGAAATTGTAAGCATATAAATCTATATGTTATGTATTAATTAATTAAATAACCCTAATACGATGACAAGTTGTTTAGTTTTTATTATTATCGAGTGTTTTTTTAATTAATTTTAAAATAAATCAGATTTTATTATAATTGCCAAAGTTTATGTGTGTTCGTATGTTATTTTCTCTATTACGCTGAAACAGCTGGATGGATTTAAATAAAATTTAGTATATAGATACCTGAAGTAATTCATACGCTATTGTTAGTGACTTAAGGATGCACTCCGGCAAGTGGGTATAAGTCGCTAGTTTTAGTATAATAATAAACTAAAATTAATGTTCTTAGAAATACTAAGGAATGATTTTAATAATTTGAAAGGAAATACAAATTATGATGAAAGTAAATAGAATTTTGGATATAATAAACACGCCCTAAAATAATATCGGCTGTATAAGTAGGTACAACAATTAAGTTGCTGTAATAATATTTCCGCAGCCCCACAATGACTAATATAACGGCCAGTAGAGTCTGATTGAACTAATATTTATTTTGGAAATTAGCTCGTACCGACGTCTTAGCCCGAGCCCACTCGCCGCGAAATTATAAATAATCTAAATTAAACGTCTCTCTTGGGGCAACTCCGCGATATCTTGCTTTTGTTTAATATTCTTCAATTAATAATTTTGATTAGCTTCGGAATATTGGCTTGGTGTTTTAAAATAATATTCATATATAATATGTATTCGCTTAAATATATATGTAAAAGTAAAACTGAATGAAAAAAAATTGAAATTCAATGGCTGTCGGTCGGTTTTAATATTTCAACAGTTTCGGCAATAGTAAGAGTTGATATCTCATTAGTATGACGTTATGCGTTCATTAGGCAAGTATAGATATATAGATATACTCAATTGAGTATATCTATATATTATTTGGTCCTTATCTTTTCAAATAATAATATATTTTTGACTGATTTCAGTTAGGTTAGCCCTGCTGAGATTAGCATGTACAAAGAGAATTTGGATTAGTATAAATTTGATTTTTATAATAATATTGTTAATATTCAGCCAAATTCAGCCTTACAGCTTGTAATAATAGCATATTTAAATTATACTTACATGAAATTACATTTGTAAACACACTTTATCTAAAGGTAGATCATTTATAGAGTAGTATTTCTTATAGAATAAAATTTTATTAAATCTTCGTTTTAATAAATGAATTTTTGCCTTTCTAAAATATCTTCAGCCAAATGATTATATAAAAGTGGTCCAATACATAAAAGTCTCTTTGAAATAAGGATAGTTGCATATAGCGGATGGCGAAGCACAACACCATGTCTTACACTATTGTAATTTTCATATAAATACAAATTATTATTAATAAAATTAACAGTCTCATAAATGTTCATAATATTTGGCAATGTTATATTTTTAAAATATGCTATCAATAGTTTTTAGCTTAAATATTGCTCTGATACATTTTTTGAGAGTTTTGAAAGCTACATCTACCGAATTAACTCTTTATCTATTATATATTATTTACAGTGCATAAGCACAAATATACAGTGAACTTACAGATTTCCTTAGTAGCGACTCACCTTCGCTTCGCCTCGGCTTCGTCATTAGACAAAAAAAGTATCCCACGGGAACCGTACATTTTTCCGGAATTAAATGTAACCTATGTGCTATTCAGACTATAATTTAATTAATGACGCAGTCAATTACATTCTAGTGCTAAACAACAGAAAAGAACTCTTTTGCAAAGTTAAATAAATCAAAAAATAAGCCAGTAAACACGTTTTGATTTACTAATCTTTAATATTTTGATGTAAAACATCTAATGCGGCGGGTTAAACCGGCTGTTGGCGTGGCGACGCGTCGCCATGCGTTCATTACTATTGCAGGTAAGGAAATGAACTATTAATTGTTCAATAAATAAAAAAATTGACAGAAAACAAAAGATGCGAAATTTCATTCTGTACAAAAATGGTTTCTATAATTTTTGCCCTAAAGTGCATAGTTTCCGTGATTTTGGCCAAAAATATTTTTTCAAGATGGCGCCTGAAGCTTCACCAAAATCTGTCAGCATTTTGTGATTTTATATTCAGCAAGTCCTAAACCTTATAAAAAAATGGATCGAAATGGAATTTAGTGAGTAAGTTAAATTCTATTTTTACTGGCCTAGTCCAATTTATCAGGCGTCCCGCGATGGGTTTAATTGTTTTTTTATCACATTCTTCCATATTTTTAAGAATAAATAATTTGACTTTCAAAATTAAAGTCACATATTCTGTTACTTACACTTACAAGCCTATGGAATAATTTGTAAAATATATTACTAATTTAATCTGTAAAGAGGTATAAACGTAAAATCTGTTCATCGCGACGCGCGACGGCCGTCACAGAGATATGACAAGAACGACACGTAAATTAGCGCCAAGTTTTCATAAAGCCCCCCTTGTGAGAGAAAGTAGCGCGCCTTGAATAAATAACTAATTTGCATATTTAATACAGATATCGTGGCAGATTCAATTGTTCAAATCTTGAATTATTAATCCATGCCGCGGTTAGCTTATTACCCTCTGGCTGGTAATCAAATATTCAGATCAGCTTTTCTTTAATTAGCTCAGTGTTGCCATGAATTTTTTGTTGCTATTATTTTTGGTGTAAAAAGCACTTCATTATTCCTATTTTCGACACTAAAATTTTTGTTTTTAGGTAATGAGAAAGTTATAAACGTATTATATTGTTTGATTTATGAATGGATTAAAATCCATTCAGCGAATTATTATCATATTTTTTTACTTGATACTTGATTCTCATGTCTGGAGCATCATTGTATTTACTGACGACTTCGTCCACGTTTGCTATTCTATAGTATCCATAGCTAGAAGAACGCGGAGCAAACCATTTATTGTTTCTTTTATCATAATGATTTAAAAATCTCCTTTCAAGCTTATTTAGCCATCTATCAAACATGACTTTTATTAAATCTTCGAATGAGTGTGTAAGCTACGAATAAATAACTTATTATTTATTCGTAGTGTGTAAGTATGTTACAGAATATAATTACTTTATACAGAATATAATTACTACCATTGCCCGCGGCTCCGCCCGCGTTCAGATGACCAAAAACCTAATTCTTAGGTTTTACATATTAGTATACTCTTTCATTGCAGTTATTGTATTTTTTCTCAAAAATGAGATATTTTCCACCGGTAAAAAGTATCCTATAAGTTGACCCGGATAATCAGCTATCACCATACCAAATTTCATTAAAATACCTCCAGTGATTTTTCTGTGATGCGGTAACAGATAGACAGACAGACAGACAAAAATTCTAAAAACTATAGATTCGGACTCTGTATCGATAATAATGTCTATTTCAATTAGATTTTCCAAAAAATATTTAATGTACAGTTTCGACTTAGTTACAATTTTATTACATGTATAGATTAATAAATTATAACTAAATATTACCAAACGGAATAAAAAAATTAAACCGCGATAAAATCCAAAAAAAAATATCTTCATTTAAAATCTAATGTAACTTATACAAACAACAGAAATATATGTACAAATATAACTTTAATGTATAACTATAATAATATTTATTATATGTTTAATGTATAACTTAAAGTTACAACTTTTATTGACTTTAATTCTATTTCGAGTCAAAACTCGCTTATCATAATTTATACGTTATATAATAAAAACAGAAAATTATGCATAAAATTATGAGCTCTATTTTAAATGAAACTATCTTTTCGGATTGTATAACGTGTATGATAAGCGAGTTTGGACTTGAAATAGAATTAAATTCAATAAAAATAGTAATTTTAAGTATTTACATTAAAGTTATAGTATACATTTATATTTCTATTGTTTATATAAATATTAAATATACATAAGATTTATATAGGTTTCTCTTATTAATTCCTGAAAATTAATTCTAATATGAGGCACAATATAATTTATAGGTACGTTTTAATTTTTTTGAGTGAAACCCTAATTCTCTTTCTGAAATAAAAGTAGCCTATGTTACTCCCTATAACATCAGCTAACTTCAATAAAAATCCCGTCAAAATTAGTCCAGCCGTTTCAGAGATTATCCGGAACAAACAGACAGACAGATATACAAAAGTTAAAAAAAATGTATTTTTCTTATAAGTACCGTATATAATTTCATATGCATTTATTAAAACGCTGTTCTTTTGACATTACAAACAGACACTTCCATTTTATTTATCTGTATAGATATAACTAAACTTTTACTAAATTTTAAATATTTCGCATAGTGAACGCACCTCACGCATTTTGACCTACGCTTGCCACGCGTAGTGTTGCCACCCTCCCCCGTAAATAGTAAACAAGGGGACGTAAACAGGGGTGCATTTGATATGCAACCAAAACAATACGCATTGATGTATCTGAGACAAGTAATTTTCTTGCTTCTAATAAGATACAACGTTTTTTCATAATGTTGTTGTTTGTTGTATTTCATTTTTTATATGGTAATTAATATTTTGTATTGTCTTATTAGAGGGAATTGTAAGAGTAATAGAGGAAAATAATCGTAATATTTTTGTTTAAATAAAATATTATGACGAGAAACGTCCTTAAAATCACATCGAAACATACAGA